TTTTGGCGGACGCTACCCGCGCCTAGGTCCTTCCAGACGTGGAGGTGGAGCCAGTGCCAGTGGCAGTGCTATTGCTAGACAGCAGTGACTGAGTCAAGTGCTATCAACAAAGAAGAGTATTCTGGTCAATGTTGCCACCCATTTGTCTATGCAACACCACAAGGAGAAGAGGACTATGAAAGTAAACTGAAGAGTAGAGCAGCAAAATAATCTGGCCATATTTTTTCACGCTCACCGCAAATGGGAGGGATCTGGATCCAAGATTAGCTGCCTAATATCTGCTGTTTCCGATGAAAAGATTACTAGTATTCACAGAACCAATGCAGTGACAGCGTGTCTGCAGGCAGGACGACCAGTTGCCATGAAAAACCTCATCCCAATGATCCGTAACATAGTTTACACCTGTCACTCCCTGGATAATTTCGGAATAGTACACTATTCAGCCATAGTCCTGCGTCAAAGCTGCAATAATAATAATAATAATAATAATAATAACTTTATTAGGAGGACCCAAAGGCTGACCAATGAAGAGCAACCACTGGTGAATCGATTATGTTTTATAGTACCACAAGGTGGTGGAGCTTGTGGAAAATATTGCGCCGGATTCAGCAGCAGATTGAATACTTCAAGTATGTACAGCCTTTCTTCCTCTCTGACCCAAACCAAGAGCATTATAGCTCTTGCTGAACTAGCTGAAGCATTATTCAGCATTATAAGGTAGTTTTTGGAGCGTCGTGATTAGCATTATACGAACATTTACGGAGCATTACTATCCGCTGGACCCTACTCACGCTGCTATCTGGTGTTCACGAGGTGCTTGTCGCGCTGAAACGGAGCGTCTCTGTAAGTTTGTATCCCTCGTGATGTTTGTGCCCGGAGAGCACTATACGTATCTAATATTGACTGAGTACGAGGTCAATATAGCCTAGGAAATAAAAGCCGAGTAAAAGACCGAGGCGAAGCCGAGGTCTTTTACGAGGTCTTTTATTTCCTATGCTGACCAAGTATGAAGTCAATATTAGATTTATCACGACTGACCAAAGCATGTGTTCAATCGCTAAAAGGAGTCAAATATAAGCGGTCAATATAGCCCTAAGGAGTGAAATATGCAGGAATATTTGACCGCTTAGGTATGGCAAAAATCTATGTGAGTCAATACTAAGGGAGTGATAAATACCGGTACATGTATGTGGTGCTCTTCAGGCACAATCTTCCTCAGCCTACTCAAGCTCAACTGATGAGGGGTGAATTGCCCGAAACACTGTATATTGAGCAGGGAGTGGTGCTTTCTTGCAGGTTTGCCGAATGGACGGTTCAATGGACTTCTCGTGTGCTCTGGGTGGCAGTCGTGAGTCAGTCAAGTGCAGGAGAATTCAATTCGGCAGGACACACAATTCCCCAATTATCGCCGAAGTCGCACCAACCTCTTCTTCACAAAATTGGAATACATTGGAAAATCGGCTAAAAGAATTGTTGGCAGATTGGCTTCAAAATTGGTGAGATATTGGCAGCTCTGCTAGAGTAGGTAGACGGTGAGTGTACGTTGTATGACTACATTAGGAAGATCGTTGCTAGTAAAATACTCAGACACTACATTGTAGTCTAAGTGTCTGAGTATTTTACTAGCAACGATCTTCCTAATGTAGTAATGGCGAATGCCGGTTTGTTTGAGAGCCTGAGAGGAGGTCAAAGGACACGAGTCACATGACCTCAACGCACTAGGTCATGTACCGGTACTACACGTACACGTACAGCTACAGAAGTAGAGAGCTCGAGCGCTAGCGGTCATGCTTGCAGCAACATCCATGATCATTCGTTCGTAAACGCACTTTGCAACAACATTTTGTTAGATGTTCGGCGATTCTTACAGGAACCCTCCAAAATCGACGAAAAGCTTAGCGATTTTCGATAAGTCTTGTTTTCGGCGAATTTTTCGGCCGGCCGATTTCATGGATTAATTCAGGGAAAGCATACATTCAGCAGCATAACAGATCAAATCACAATACTCAGTCTGACATGCACCATGCACGTGCGCAAGCACTGATCAGTCATTTGACTTCATTTCCCTTTTGTCCGTATGTCATGTACATGTACAGTCAAACCTCTTTAGGACGAACACCAAGGGACCGATGATATTTGTTTGCAATAACGGGAGTTCTTCTTATCCGTATTACACCCACTGAAAACACAGTGATTTATCCGATGCAGTTACGAATACTATATGTACTAGTTCTTCTTAAGCAAACATTATTCTTATCAGTGTTCTTTCTAACGAGGTTTCACTGTATATACCAAGGGTACATTATTTGTGTACTCTCACGGTCACCTAGCTTGCCTCGAAGACCTCCCACACTTGCAACTGTAGTGTCTGCCAGCCTGCTCGTGTCTGAGGCACTTTGGGCTTACAACAGAAAGTGATACAGGCTGACAGCACTAGCGGGAGGAAAACAAGCTCTTGGGCTTAGACTCTTCACTTCATAATTCCACACAGCAATGAGAAAGAATGATGGGTTTATATAGGCCAGAGGGAGAGAGCAGCTGGGAGCGAGTGCAAAAGATTACTAGGAAGACAACTGTTGAAAGATCTAAGGAAAAGCCATTTGAATGTGTGTGAGCTAGGGCTGAACAATAACATGGATTCGGGGAAGAAAGCTGTTGGATGCCTAGAATCTCGCAAGGGATCAAGAGGGTCAGTGATGGGGAACAGACTACACAGGAATCAATGTAATGTATTAGTACAGCATGAACGCAATAGGTCATGCGGCCGTACCGGTCTTGCAAGCAGGGCTATCTAGTCCTAAGTGGTTGCGCGTGAGAAGCACTTAGCTAGAATGTTCCTGTAACTACTGGTAGAGACTTGGCTGTGGGATCACTGACAGTCAGGGATACTACATCCGCCCCTCCTCCGTTGAGACACGTCCTCGTGTCTACGGGACGGGTGTTCGTGAAAAGACAGACACATGCATTTAACATGTGTGAAGAATTTGTCTCTCTGTGGAGCGGGAAAATGTACATGTATGTGTTCGCGTCTCAATACATGTATTGGACGGTAAAAGGGATGTGTTCCATCGCGTCACTCGTGGACGGTAACAATTCTTGACTCTCGTCTCTCTGGGACGGTACAACTGGAAAGGACTCGCTCACCATGTGGCGGTAAAATCATTGTTACTTGTACACGTACATGGACTGGTTAGTTGAGTGCGTGCTTGCAGGGTATACAGTATTTTGGGTCTGAAACGGATTGCGTGGTCGGAACGGGGTGGACATGATCGGGATGGGTAACGAAAAGGCTAGGAAACTTTGTGGTCAGACCTGGGAGAAAGCGGTTGTAGGGGAGTTTCAGTGGGATGGAATGTTGGGCGATCTAGAACTGTGTACTGCACGTATCTGGACGGACATGAAGGTATATGGAGGGTTGTGAGTCCTAGGTTGTTGATCGAATGGTGGGGCGGGGACTGGGAGTGGGATTGTCTGTGGGATGGAGTGGCTGAAGGAACGTGGAGGGCCTTGTGTATCGCGTGTAGTGTAGCAAACACACTAAATGTGAGAGATGTTAGCAGGGGAACAACTTTGGCAGCAGAACGAGTTAGTGATAGGGATATGGCAGCGAGGAGCATAAGAACAGAATGGAAACTACTGCTGGATGGGGGAGCTGGCATAATACGCGGCGTAGCTTGCACGATAGGGGTGGCATGCGTACTAGTAACAGTTGCATTTGACCGGGTAGATGATTGAGTAGGGATACAGCAGGAGGAGGAATGGTGACATACCTGGGTTGAAGGGAAGATGTGCCGTGTATCGCGACGACGATAGCAATACGCTATGGCATGGCCAATCTGCTTGCAAAATCGGCAATATGGGCGAAGACGAAAGGGCCGACGTCGCTTGGGTCGGACATATACCGGTGGCTGTAGTCCAGGGACATACCGGAGGGCATGTGAACTCGCTGAAGAATGATGGTGATCCATTTTGCCGAAATGCGTACGTGGCAGCGTCGATCCGCTGTATGGATGGACTGACGAACCGGGATTCTGCATCGTTCTCAGGTCGTCATGGGTTCAGAAACGAGGAGCAGCCGGGGCAGCCTGAGCGGGTTGGTGTTGTTGCTGAGCCATACTAATGATACTCGAGAACTACGTAACGGGTGAGAGGTCAGGAAACAAAGGAAAGGACGGGGACTACGAAATACAGAGAATATAACAAAGCACGTAAGGTACGAAACACTTCTGACACCAATGTAGTGTCTGCCAGCCTGCTCGTGTCCGAGGCACTTTGGGCTTACAACAGAAAGTGATACAGGCTGACAGCACTAGCGGGAGGAAAACAAGCTCTTGGGCTTAGACTCTTCACTTCATAATTCCACACAGCAATGAGAAAGAATGATGGGTTTATATAGGCCAGAGGGAGAGAGCAGCTGGGAGCGAGTGCAAAAGATTACTAGGAAGACAACTGTTGAAAGATCTAAGGAAAAGCCATTTGAATGTGTGTGAGCTAGGGCTGAACAATAACATGGATTCGGGGAAGAAAGCTGTTGGATGCCTAGAATCTCGCAAGGGATCAAGAGGGTCAGTGATGGGGAACAGACTACACAGGAATCAATGTAATGTATTAGTATAGCATGAACGCAATAGGTCATGCGGCCGTACCGGTCTTGCAAGCAGGGCTATCTAGTCCTAAGTGGTTGCGCGTGAGAAGCACTTAGCTAGAATGTTCCTGTAACTACTGGTAGAGACTTGGCTGTGGGATCACTGACAGTCAGGGATACTACACAACCAGCGAAAAAGCTTTTATTTTAAGTCAAAACATTGCCGGACCTTATAGGACCCGGGGTATACTCCCTCGTTATGTGTCGCTGGTGACATTTTCGTCTCTCCCCTTGTTCCATTGTTTCCACTGCAAAACTGCAATGACAATTATTATTGCCCATTTAGCAAATAACATCATCCAGTAAATGCGAAAAAAATCAATGCAGCAGATGCACAACAGAAAAACAGTTCAGGAACCGGAAGGCGAAACCCAGTTTTGTCCATCAGAAAAGAAGAAGAAAATTTTCACGGTCCGCGTGAGACTCGGCTAGAAGCCGAGTTTTCCGCATCCGTAGGAACGCCACCACCCTTCAAGGATCAAGGCGCAGATGCAGCTCCTAAGGCCACCAGAAAAGAATATCCTGAAACAGGAGACAAGAAATGGCTACAGTGCTTCTAACTAAATCTTAAACTGTGCAGTAAAAAGTGTTGAAAGAGTTGGTTTAAAACTGACAGAAAGCAGCACTAAATATTTGTTAGGAACTTAGGATGGCTCCAAAGCACAAACCAGTAGCCTCCCATCTCGGTAGGTGTGCGCAACTTTGGACTGTCGAGTGGGAGAACTTGTATAGCCACGCACAAATACGTCTTGGTAACTCAAATATGGAGGGGTTCCGGTTCACGGAACGACATTGCACTTGTTACTTGAAGGAATTAGGTGACTTGAAAAGGAGTGTCACCAGAAAACATTATTTGAGCCAAGTGAAGCATGCAAAGGGAAAAGGCAGCAAAAAGGGAGCCACTGGCTCGCTGCGCATGCTCGGGCCTGAGTGCTGCAAAACGGTGCACGCGATGCGTGCAGCAAGACATCAGCATGACGTCAACAGGATGTAACACATAAACAAATAAAGACATAATAATGAGCGTAACGCGGATTCGTGATGCATATTCACAACACGTAAATGGATAAGGAAAGCCTACAGGGGCGAAGGTATGAACAACGAAGACAAATCATGTGACAAGCTAAGTTAGTCCCACAGCAACCAAGCCTTTTGTCAACTGTTACTGGACAATGACGAGACCATGTGGTCTAACTACAACATGCGTGTATCTCAGAGTTCCCCACACTGGCAGCTATTGTGCCATGTTCTGTGATGATTCAAGCAAAGAGCAGAGCAGAACAATGCCCTGCTAGCAGTAATCACTTAGGCGGCTGGACAGGACAGGAAGGCATTCCCGGTGAATTCTGCCGACAGCCACAGTGCTGGGAGAATGGATTCAGTATGCACTTTACAAAATCGAAGCCCTCGCCCAACATATGCTCGCGCACCTCTGCCTCCCCGCCCTCGTCTACCTCCTCGTCTACCACGTAGTACTGTACCACGTAGTACTGTACCATACGAGTAACTTCTTTTCTTGACATGCATTTTTTCCTGGATACGTGCTGCTCCCAAGGCGTCGTTGATGTCAACATCCAGCGACAAAATGCTCAGTGCTGGCTGCTGAATATCAATCACACACGCCACATTGCAATTGGGTTTCGTGACAACCAGGAGATCATCCTCAGCGATGTAGACCAGGCTTAACACCTCGCCGCTGTGAAACCTGAACTGGGCGTTTGAATCTTGATCCGCACACTGTTGTCCACCGACGAACACCATGCCAGTTGAGAATAATATAACAGATGACCTCACGACATCTTCAGCGAAACCGACAAGTTCAAGGCGGTCTTGTGCTTCTCCAGCTTGCATATTCACGATAACTCCAACACCAACAGCAGGGTCGGAGATTGGAGCTTTCCTTGGAATGCCAGCCTGCTCAAGTGTAATCTGCCATTTTATCACAGGCTTAGCTGTTGCTGTCTCCTCGCTAATCAGGATCAACCTGTCGGGTGTTGACCTCTCTCCATAACACTGTGGTTCTTGGAAGGCAGAAGGCGGGACTCTGGAGAGTCCCGATATATCCCGTCGCTGCACAGGCTTCAATTGAGCGTGCATGCCAGTTGATGACAGATGAACGCCCGTATAGGGACATGTAGTTGTGTGATGCTCCCGCGTCGATAACGATATGCAAACATGACCAAACTTCCATGGCGGTTGTACGAGAGTGAAAAGGGCTGGCGAACCAACAACGTGCAGTCCACTGATGGTGGCACTCACAGAATAGTCGCCTGGTTCGCGTCCTTGGCTGAACTTCACTACTGCTTTGGAGTTCTTGATAGTTACGTCGCTCCCTGTGTAGACCTCGCCTTCGGGAATAGCAATAATCGAACAACTAATTGTACTTTCAAGGACATTTGATGTAGGGTGTCCATTAGCATCTGCCAAGTCAATAGTGAATGTGAGAGGCACGCCGGCGCAGCAGTTCTTAGGCAGACCCAAGCTGCTCGTTCCGCTTGCAGCCGTGGATGTTACTCGACCAAACTCCTCCACAGCCTCCTTCAAATCGGACAGGTCCACCACTGCTGATAGGGACCCGTCATCGTGCGCCAGGATGGACTTTTCCTTACAATCCTGTACCAGACTCTTCAAGCGACTGTCCACAACGCTCTTCAGGATTAGCTGCTGTGATGGGCTGCCACATTCCATTGTAGATTTAGCAAACACTGATGCATAAACTACCTTCTCTTGCAAGGTTTTCAATGCTATCTTCTGATTCTCCAGAGCGACGCTCTTGTCTTGGTAGACTTTGTCAACATCTGAGAGGAGCTCTTTCAGTCGCGTGTCGACCAGGTGCTTTACTTCGCTGGCAGCCCTCTCCATGTCCTGGCTGGTTGTGTGGAAATTGTTGGTTAGTGTTTCCTGGGACTGTTCGATTCTACTCAGGGTGCCTTCAAACTGCTCTACCATCTTATCTAACTTCAAAATATCCTGACGGTTCTTGTTTTTTTTAATGGCATCCGATATGAAGGTGTAATGGTGGGATTTATGATCTACCACAACACAATCTCTGCAGATACACTCCGAGCAACTCGCACAGTACAGCTCCAGTTCTTTCTGCGTGTGACGGGCACACAGCAGTGCACTTCGTGCCACTGCCAATTCGGCAACGTCGACATGTCCTGATCCCGCACCGGCATCACCAGCGTTGGCGGATGACTGGAGCTGGGTGAGGGGTATGGTTTGGTGGCCATGAGTTGCTTTGCTCTTCTTGTGACCATTGTGATGGAGAGTGCACAGAAATTGACAGCAGCTCACACAGCGATGACTGGCTACCTCTCCTTCTACACACTCGTCACAGTTGTTCGACTTGCGCGGATCACAGAGTTTCTGCAGCGCCAAGTAGTCGAGCGCCATATAGTCCACCTGCAGAGTGTCCAATTGGCGCGGCGCGACGACATAGCCGCATGTTCCACATCTCAGTGATCCATCTTTGTTCTTTCCTGCACCATCGGCTCTACACTGGGCACAGATCGAGTGCAAGCACGGCAATAGCCTGGCATCTAGCAGCTCACCAGAGCACACACAGCAGGACCATCGGTCCGTCGCTTGTTCCATTGCCTTTTCCGTGACTCCAGCTTGAGCGGCGGAGCCGCCGCTCTACCTCCGGCTCAGTTCAAGTACGAACCGGTAGTTCTTTTGTTTAGCTTAGCTTAGGTTTGGGGAATTCAGCATCTATAAGTACGGAACAGCGGCTCAGCCCACCTGTTTCGAGTTCGAACCGTATACCGGTAAATTACTTATCGAAACAAAATATTCAGGGCACGAACTAACGTTACTTGTGCATGTGCACGGAGGAAACATGGTAAACAAGCGTTGACTTTCTAGATTTCTTCACGGGCGCGACAAGTACGAGACCGTTGTTGACATGGCCGAGCCTTGACTCTAGCCTACAGCCTACAGGTAATTGAAGTATGTAGGGAGGAGTTTCGAGGCTGAGTCAGCATGGTCCCTGGGTCTACCAGGTCTACCGATCAGCTCGTAGCGCCTGCACTAGTGCACTGTACTGCTGCTGCTGCATGACGTGATGACGGGGGGCGCGGCGCGGGCGCAGCGCACTAGCACTGTGTTTATACCATGTTATACGTAGTGTGTATGTGTGTAGATCGTCAGGGCCAGGGAGTCGTAAAAATACGACTCCCTGATACTCGCACACAGTCGCGCACATACCATACCGTAGATCTACGTAGACCATGATGTACCAGGTCCCGCTTTTTGCCAGTTTTTAATTTTTAAATTATTTTTTGTTCATCTTCATGATTTCAGTCTAGACGTCTCTTCTTTTATGACTCACTTTTTCCTTTGAAGAATGGACGAATCTATCCTGTCTATAGTTTCTAATTTCTCTGATAGTGTTTACGCGGCCTTCCAGAATGAGACTGAGCGAAGCTCTGAATTTCTCGTGGAATTCGTCACAGCCGTAAGTGATTGAATCCCTGTGAAATCATTTTTGAAACTTCAGTATTATTATCGTACCTCAAAGGGGGTTTATGGCCAATGTACGCGTACACTAGTTACACTGTACATGCAGTAGTATCTAATGTCAAAGGACTACATGCACACACAATGCATGGTCCTAAAAAAATAGTACAGCAGTCCCTCGTCTAGCCCCCCCCCCCCCCCTTGGGCAAGAGTCCACAAAAAGAAGTGTGGATATTGGAAAAGAAGACTGGTGGATAAATGAAATCCATACTCAGCTACATGCACATATTGACATGTCAGCACTGCATGGCGGCACAACGAACGCATAAGGGATTCGCCTGCTTCACCGGGTGGCGTGTTCCTGAGCGAGTTGTGAATTAGCGCAGCCACGCACTACTGAAGCGTATGTCTGATTACAGTGCATTTCAAAACTATAGACGCGTAGGGTTTTTGAAATATTTCAAATTTGGCTGGAACTTTTTGAGAATAGTTTTCGGAGTATTGCTCAGGATCGCTCCACAATTACTCTCATATAGTTTCTAAAGGATTGGATAACAGATGCCCAATTTGGAAAATTTTATGCACAAAGTGATCACAGATTTCATGTGGTATAGATGCTGGCATAACGGTTTTTGCCTAGGTACGCGTCTATAGTTTTGAAATGGACTGTAGTGACGATGCGCTGCGACCGTAGTGTGTTAGAACCATGACGTTTCACTGTACAATGTTATGGTCATGGTACAGTAAAAATGTAGTGATGCAGCCGATGGTGTTTTCTTCGAACGAATATTCTCCCGAATATTGCTTTGACGAACGAACGAATATACTATATTCTTCGTATGTGCCTCAATCACTTCACTCAATTAGACCCAACATTCACATTGCATACAGAATCATGTTGATAGTCAATACCCACTGGTTAAAGAGCTGTTTTTACCGAAGAACAAGCTTCACAGTTCTCAGAACATAATACTTTTTACACTAGGGAGGTTCTGCTATACATGAAACGTAGAGAAATCACGTAGAGAGCAGGTGTCTGGGTTAGAGTCTATGGCTTCACGTGTTTTGGCTCCAGATTTCTACGCGGAGATGAGGTTCTCTACGTTGTGGCACACGCAGAGAAAATGCATACGGATCTGCTGGGTATCATTCGAGTGCAGGCGGAAAACTGCCAAATATGGAAGGGGGAATTCCCAGTACACATTCCACGTGACTTCTCTACGTGAACGTAGAGCAGAACAGGATTTCTTTACGTTACGGGAACGCGAAGAAAGTTCGCGTGATTCTTTGCGTCGCGTTCCCATAACGTAGAGCAGAACCTCCCTACTATCATCTCCAATACTCTTCAGGAGATCAAGGTTGTAGCTAAATAGCACAACCAAAATTTGCGCATTTTTTCGAATATCGGATTTTGCTGCCTGCATTCGAATATTCTTTCTGGTGTTGGTGTCCTAGAATATTCGAATAATTCGAATAGTCCTGGCATCGCTAGTAAAATCCGGCACTATTTGTGCTACGTTTGGTTAGGCCGCGGTCACACCAAGCGCGATTCAGCCATTCAGCGGAAAAGCGCTTTTTGACGTCATCGTTTCTACAGAAACGGCTGAATTTCGGCTTCAGCCGTTCTCAGCAGTCAGCCGTTTTCGAAGCGCTGAATGGGGCGCTAAATGGATTCAGCTACTTTCAGCCATTCTGGCGCAGTAGCGGGAAAAACAAACTCGTGCAAATCCAAACCGCATCTTGCCATCGATGCATCGTGTTCTGAAATATTCCGGCTTACTGCTATTGTCCTCATCTTTCCTTGTGCGCTTTCTACGAGGCAGGATTTGGTTCGGCAGCGTCAGACAAGGGAGACTATTGTGTGATAGAAGCATGCGCACCATGATATCGGTGCAGAGCAAGATGCAGACAATGGCGCGGAGTCTAGTTTCAGGATGCAGGACTCCCTCAATCTTTCAAACAAACACCCTGATTTCAATGTGGCAATGAAGCTCCTCTCCCAGTACAGTACCAGAACTCTGCTGATTGCCACGTAATATTCAACAGAAAAATCAAATTTAAAAATGAGCGCAAAGATAAAACCTCTCTACAGCACGCCAAAAAAAATTCAGCGGATCTCATGGGTCGATGTGACCAACCGCTTCATTCAGCACAAGTCAGCACTTTCAGCTCGAGCTGGAAACGGCTTGTTTGGTGTGACCGCGGCCTTACCGAAAACAATTGTGCTGGTTTATTTGGATTTTTTGGATTTTGGATTTTGTATTTATAGTGGTGACTATAACAGACAATTGCCTAATAACAATAGACCCACTCGAGGGAAAGATGCAAAAAGATATGAAGAATTAATATAATAGACTACCGGTATTGGATAGGTGATCATGTTCGCATTTTGCATAGCTGAAAGTCATAAGTACTAGCGTGACAAAGCAAGGCATTGGGGTAACAGTTTCTTAAAGCGGGCGAAGTTATCCACACAGCGAGCTATTGAGGTTGCTGGTTTATAAAGTGCTGGATTAAAGAGGGGTGGCTGTATCTGAACATGTGCATGTATGTGTGAGTACACACACACGTGCATGCGTATGCTCTGTGTGTGTACATGCGTGTGTTCACGTGCATGTACATGTGTGTGTGTGTTCACGTGCATGCGTGTGTGTTCACGTGCATAGATTGACTGGACACAGCCATGGCTGATAGCACTGATAGTGTTCCACCTGTCCTGTACGGTGTTCATCGTACTAGCCCGCCATCACGTACTCACCATGCTAGTGCCTCTCTTTGCAGTCTTCTGTGAGTATCTTCAATTGTACGTCTACAGTCTAGTCAGCCTTGCGAATAACGACCCTCGATTGTTTATGAGAGAAGTGTCGTTATTCAGGAGTGGCCGTTACTTGTGAGGTTGACAGTACGCGGTCGAACGGTCACGAAGTCTGAAAATGTTCCGTTATTCGCGAGCTGTTGTAAAAAAAATAAGACTTGTAATAGCCGAGGTCATTATTCACGAGGTTGACTGCACTGTAAATTAATTGGGTCGTGTGGGGTGTAGGGTAGTTTTCTATGAGTAACATGGGCAGCCTATCGGGTAGTATTGCTATGGAAACACTGTAAAAAAAAGAATAACTGCTTTTGCTATGTTGAATGTGAGTACTTAGTATACAGTCGCAGGCAAATCTATGGAAGACCTAGTGCGTTTGAATGTTGTAAATGTCATGCCAGCTGGGTCGAAACATACCGACGTGCATGCCCTTGCTCATCTTGTTTCTTCTGTGTGATTGGCCTGCAGTCGTTCTGTGTGCACCGGCTAGCTACATCAATGAGTGGGCAGCTGATAATCACACGTAAGTACATGCTGTGCGTTTGAAAGGGGGTACAGATCGTGTCTGATGGACAATCTGGTGACATGCCATTTCAAAGCTGGAGAAAATACAACAATTTACAGCGAACATACAACCTCTGTGCTGCTGCACAATGCACGCTATCTTTCGTCATCCCTGCATGCTGTAGGAGATCACAGCTGCCCGCCTCGGTCTATGTGTTACTATGGTCGAATAATTACTGCTGAACATCTCAACAACAGTCAGCCATGTACGACAGTACATGTAGCCGTCTGTTTGCAATGCTGGCAGTGTAAAATAATGTTGTGGAGAAAGCTCAGTCGTCATCATCAAGTGCTCTTTGTGTCCTCTTTGCCTGTTTATGCAGGCTGTTTGCGACTGAGCAGTACTTTGACTCCGCAGGCATGTTTATCTCGATTGTTTACTCTCTACCCATGATGCTCAATGCTATCCTCATATTGGTAAGGTGGAGGACACCTGGATCTGCGTGTCTGCTCTGCTCTCTCTCTCTCTTTCTCTCTCTCTCTCTCTCTCTCTCTCTCTCTCTCTCTCTCTCTCTCTCTCTCTCTCTCTCTCTCTCTCTCTCTCTCCCCGTATCCATTATAAGGACTAGTTTGTCTCTGTGTGAATTCCGACACCTTGAACATGGGCTGGAGAACGTATGGGCTAGAGCTCGAGTTCCTTGGCTGCTCTGGTGCTAAATACTTTCTCTCCTGTGTGTTGCAGGTGTTCATGCTGATTGAGGTCTCCCACATGGTCGTATCGGTGAAGCGCACAGAGCTGCGACACCGCCAACGTCAGCAGGAGAAGAGCAGCAAGTCGGAGTCTAAGAAAACGAAATGAGCTCACACGGCTAAGGCCTCTTCCTTCGCCATTGCCAGGCGTGGTGTTCTCTGGCTGACAAAGTGCCACTCCTGCTTCAGACAGATACCTCAGGTACTCCAGCTCCCAGCACATATATGTAGAAACATCGATCAAGAAGGCAGATCTCCTCCTGGGTGCGTCTGGCACAGGCAATGATTCAGAGGAGCGTTAGAGCTCTCTGGCCAAGCCCAGCAAATGGCGGTGTATGCGCAGTTTCAACAGGCAGCATTTCTGACTATCTGCCACATTCTTGCATTGATTGGCAGAGCAGTGAGCTGTGCTAGGTTGGAGTATCGCATAGCTATTGCCATGTATTGGTGGTGAGTAGCACAAACATGAACTGATTTACTTCAAAGGACATGCACATGGACATGTATAGGAAGTCCGTGTGTTTTATCATGGCATTTATAACACAACGGTGAAATCAGATGATGCGTTACATTGACTGCAGGTCTGACAATGTGCCCGAACGAAACCCATAATAATTCTCATGAATGCTATAACAAGAGCCATACAAAATCTCAGCTTAATAGCGAATTTTTATATCCTCATTTCTAAATTCAAATACTTTTTCAGCAGGTTTTGCTGCCATCCCATTGCAGTTTAGCTAGGGGTTACTTTGGCCTATTGTTCTTGGAAGAAATGTGCAGTGTTTGAGTTGCTGATATCTCATCGTTTGGCCAGCTGCTATGCCACATGCTGAGAGCAAGAAAGCTGTATCTTACTTGAAGCATCTGCTGGAGAGAATCATAATATGGGCATGTTCATTTCATCACGTTGCGTGATGCACATACGAGTGACACCGTGTCGTGCGCAACACGGGCCTTCACCAACAGCATAGCATCAAGAGTCCATCATAAACAAAAATTTATGCACTCTTGATAGCATGGGTAACAGCCACCGTAGTATCCGTCTTGATTGGCTGTTCATACTGAAGTAGCTTCACGCGATGCACTCAGGACCAATCCGATCAGTACTGGGAAAGAGGAAAGGATATAACTCTGAATCTTCACCTCAATTAGCTCACGCCGAAGAACGAGGTCGGTTTCTTGCTCAGCAGCCGGTGACGTGTCACGAACGATGACACCGACGAGACGCAATTGCCAACGAAGTGCTCAGCACGCTGCAGGATTGCCAGCTCCATGTGAAGGTTGCTGGGCTCGTACGTAACCACGGTGACCTGAGGAGCAGAGACAAGGAAACAGATGACAGAAATGCCGACGTGCACTGCAGGTTGGCACGGCAATACGCCGTTCTGCTAACATAGCGGTAAGTATGTACTTCGAAGTACAGTCATGTATGTTCCAAGTTACGGGCGGCAAGTCCTAATCAAGTAGTTACGGGCAGTGCTCGGTCCTAACCACCTGCCCGGATTCGGGGAGTTCTTACCGTACTACCAAGAGTATGTAAGGCCCCAAGAGTGTGGAACTCCTGATACCCTTTCTATGGGGTACGCCGACGGCGAAAACTCACATCAAGTGGTGTGGCATCGCAGTTGTACGTTTCCAGCCCGTTGTTAGCGAGCAGTGGAGTAATAAAAAAGCTCTCTCTCTCTCTCTCTCTGACAGAACTCACTGCGCGTATGCAAGGCCCAACAGCATGATCATGGCAGATGTTCGGATTGCGCGCACGCTATCCTTCGTTTGTCGTAGTACAAAACGTACCTGAGACACGTGATGTGAGTTTTGGTAGTCGGAGACCCCATGTGCAGAGTTGCACACTCTGGGGGGGGGGGGGGAGGGGGAGTTATGTACTCTTGGTACTACATGTACATGTAGTCCACCGTCTAGTGACTATACCATCAATGATTGTGACCTAATAAGTGTTGCAATCCTCAATCCACCCAAAGCCACTTTTTTTCTAAAAAAAAAAGGCAACCAAGCCAGCAGTTGAGTGCCATTCATACCAGGGAGTAGTAAAATACCGGTATTTCACTACTCCCTGATTCATACCTTGAGTGACTTCAGATGCTTGTTGAATTCCTCCAGCATGGGATCACTGTCAGTGGCCACGAACAGATACTTTGCCTTGGTCTTTTTCAGGGCCTTCTTGACATCCTTCAGCACTGTGCTCACTTTGGGCAGGCACATCTCCCAGGTGACCTGGCGTGTGGTCTCATGCGTGCACTGCAGTGATGCCATGTAGCTGTGACGCTGCTCGGTCTTCACATGCGCGCAGGCATTCGACTGTAGGGTGGTAGCGATGATCCAAGAACAAGTGAATCGCCGCATAGACATGTGAACGTACGCATGCACACACACACACACACACACACACACACACACACACACAGCACCAATATTAAAAGCTCGAAAAGCACGGTATCAAACATGGTACAAGTGATAAAGTTCAGTACTTCAGCTGGTTGTGTTTCTAAACACAATTGTATAGCCGGTGGCAACATGGATGTGCGAACATTTTTTCTCACTTCAGTATTAAAAGAGCGTGTCACCATCACACAACAGTACCTTGGCACAGTCAGACCTATTAGCACTTGCTCCAGCAACCTTGGTTTACGCTTGGGTTTCCTAGGAAACGGATCATCGCCAGTACTGTTCACTACGTTTGTCCAGCTTTCGCAATATGTCTCCGGCAGTCCTTTTCGAAACGAACGGTCAACATGATTGTGCATTGAGCTTGTTCATGCGCAATGCATACATGTGAACTACAGACACAAACGGAAGACATACAAGATCTGACTGTGGGTATGGTAGGTGCGGGCCGGCAGCATTGCAACTACAGTAAAACCTGGTTTAAGCGACTACCCCACGGTGCAAGCAAAAGCGGTCGTTAAAGCCAGGTAGTCTTTAGAACCAGATCCCACAGTGTCTATGTAGAACTGTCGGTGCATGGAAGAACGGTCGCTAAGAGCAGGTGGTCGCTAAAGCCAGAGGTCGCCTACACCAGGTTTTACTGTAAATCAAACACATGCATGGTACATGTACAACACAGCACACGCACACGCACCCAGTCAGCTCCGTTTCGCAGGTGAATGCCAACGAAGGGCTTGTCCTTCAGCGCGTCCTTGAGGAACTTCTTCACCTTGGCCGTTACTGTCGAGGACCACTGGAAGACCTTCTGCAGTGGCCAGTACTCTGGCAACATGGGGAAAGAGCCAACAGCGCCAGGCAAGGCAATGACTGGGACTTGATCAGCGGGAAATCTACAACAAAGAAAGAGCAGCAACAGCTTAGTGGAGATTACCTATCACATGGACTCCCTTCAATATAGACTATGTCCTTGGGAAATCCTCAAATACATAATAATAAAACATACTGCAGTTTGTAACTTTGTACAGTAGACTCGTACGCCCAAGAACGCGGCGCCCAAGAACGCCCAGGCTGGAAATCTAAGAACGCCCCAGCCTGGATTTAAGAACGAACTCCAAGATTTTTAAGAACGTGACATTTTTTGGTATTGAGACGTGATCTTTGAGCGCCGGTTTGTTTTGCAAGCGGATTGCACCTTCATGATCTTGTCCGAGTACACGAAAAACAAGTCCGCAACCACAAACTCTTGTCGGGTCCTCGCGAAAACATCACCCAGTGCAGCGCTACATACTACACGTGCATGTAAAGTGTACAACCGGTGCATGTAGCGCAAAGTGCATTGTACATGAGCGTCACGGGTCATGTTGGACGCGTAAGAACGCGAAATAAGAACGTAGCCTGGGGCGCTGAAAAATAAGAACTTTGCTAGGCTGGCCCTCTGAAACCACCGCGTTCTTGGGCGTACGAGTCTACTGTACAACACGTAACCGCAACATACAGCCTGTCACCCAAAAGAAATAATTATTCTAGAACGCATCGGGGTGCCGAGAAAAAATTCTTATTTTATGCTGGGCTTTGCTGGTCCCATGCAAATATTATTCGCCGACTGCTACTAGTGGAATTCGCTTCATACTCATTGTGTCGCTGAGTGTTAAAGAACTGAAGATCGCCTCCACCAGGCCTACGTGCCCCCCCCCCCCCCCCCCCCTATAAACGATTTGACCTCGGTTCAGCAAGTGCATGCGTGGGCCATATGGCATCGAGTGTAGCGATTGAAACGCGCAGTGTCTCCCATGAAGCCAACATTGAATTCCGGCACGCAGACTACTTGTAGTTGTGAACACTGCACGCACATACCCGTAGCTAGCTTCGGGAGTGCAAAGTGTAGGGTCATATCGGGCAAATCAATGCGGCATTTTTGTATCGCACAACTTGCATGTATATGTACCACGCATCAATTTTTGGAGTACACTGTACATTTACCTGTTCCCCAGCGGGGGGGGGTATGTCTCACCAGAGTTCTGCTGTACTTGTAAGTTCATTCCACACACACCTACATGTAGTAAACCTACTTCAGGAGCATTTCAGTGAAGTGGTGCCCCCCCCCTCCCCCCCCCCCCCTCCCCACCCTAAGGTGGTCCAGCTATGCCCCTGCCCACCGTGCCATTCCACGTACCGTTCATCCCACATTGCTTTATCTGTTGGCGACGAAGCGCCGTACGGTAGATGATCATAGGGGTCATAGGAGTCGAACTCGACGCCAAAATGGTCCCAGAACGGGCCGAAGGGATTGCCGTTCTTGTGATTGCACGTCCCCTTGTTGCCTGGAAAACTTCTGCAGTGGCCTGTACAGATACAGGGTACATGTACAAGAAAAGAGCAAGAAATAAGCGCCGAGTGAGCATGCTCAGTGGCAAAAAACAAGTGCACATGTCACTGCTTACCTAATGAATGAATGACCATTTGATGTCCATAATCTATAGCAAAATATGAAGTGGGCAATGACGAAGGCAGCAGCAGAGCCACTACCACCACCGCTTCCACTTCCACATGCACATCGCTAAAGCGATGATAGCGAGCAAGCTATGTTGCAACTTGTGCTCGGACTACCCCATCCAACAGCTTGCAAGACTGATGATGAATTGACCGCCACTAGTGTTAGCCCGGCACACCACTACTACACACATACAATAGCACACAGCGGTCTCACCAATACGAGATCCCTTCGGCCACACGACCGGCGCAACCGTCCTGAAGAACTCCTCCATGGTTATTGCACGGTGCACTTTCTTCAGCCCTTTGAGGGAGAACAATTCAGTGAACTTCCGTCTCTCCTAGGGAAGTCAACGGAACAGAGTACGGTACATCAATCATATTAACACACGCACGAGGAGTGAACTTAAACAGATGGTCTTTTCGAGGAAGGAGGGGAAGAGGGGGGGGGGGGGGGGGGGGGGAGAGAGCTGGTGATGACGAAGTTACCAAAATTTAAGTTACACCAAAAAGATATGGTGTTATACAGTGTGTTGGCCCTTCGTTCATTATCCCAATTTCAGTTCAGGTTTTTTATTTAAAGGAAGCCGCACAGCAATACTACAGACTGCAATCCCCTGCAAAGCCCTATACATGGACATGTACAGGCAACAGCGGCCAGACTAGAGGTCATGCGTGAATGAGGCAATTGCATACTGGTTTGGTTTGCGTTCTACAGAGTGCATGGAGTGGAAAACTGTGCTAGTTTCGGATTGATCTTTGAGTCAGTGGGAAACAATGCTAGTTCGTATTGAGGTTTGAATGGCAAATTTAGGATTGGTATCGAGATTTGAATAGCAAATTTGTGCGGAGGGGCAAACCATACAAACGGTGCTAGTTTTGTGGAAAATCAGTACTAACGTGCCACTTCACCTTAGCCTGGCCACTCCATACAACGCATATCACATGAAGACGCAAGCATGACCCGTATAGATCCTGGAAGATTGGATTTTTGTTCCACCTTACTTGTAAGGAAGCATTGCCTTATCGGGTAAGGAGCACTTTGTGTGCAGACTGTGTAGATCCTGAAAGATGCGTGCTACCCCGGTGGGCACAACGGAATGTACATGTACTTCTGTCGTGGACATTGAAATCTGATGGGATGACCGGGGCCGGCGCCCTCACTGCTTGCAGCACGTGCATGCACTGTAGTTCATGCACACGCTCTAAAATGGACCAGCAGTGCTCGCGGCTGCAAGGCCAGCGCCCTGTGGCTGCTTGACTTCTCAATAGATTTCAATGTCCGCTACTGTAGTAGCTAGAAACACTCTGCAAGTAAGGGGGCTCACGTACAGACGGAAAGCGTCCCTCCGGCGGATAGACGACAAACGGTGGCACCACGTACGTGCGGTTCAGGTCCTTGACAAATGCCAGCGTGCCCAACAGCTGCTCGGCCTGGTTGCCAAAGCGACCTGCAAACCAACCACACACACCACCATCGCCATCACACATATTCATATACACAGGCTCAGTATCTCTGCATAGCGCTAGCTGAGTGTGTACGGCTATGCTGCAATTCCAGACAGCGTGTGTTGATAGTCACCCCAAGAAAAAACTGAACTGTAAGAATACACCCTCATAGATACAGGTACTGCGGTACTGGTGATAGAAATCCAGACTCATGAAAAGAATAGTGCTGGGCAATACGCAATCCACACACTGGTCCGTGCACTCGAACGCGGCGCTACTTTATTCATGAGGTTGGATTTCTCTGGCCAGAATTGTATTTGTACAATGTACATGTAGGTCATTGTTTCATGGAGAGATTGGTAAAGTCACTGAACAAAGGCCTTGGATTTTTGAAATTATTATTTGGCCAACAAAAAAGGTTGCGAGTGCAATGACGTACTTACCCATGCAGGGACAATAGAGAACATAGCCATTCGGGTCTATGTGTTCAGGTAGAGCTTCTCCCACTTTCAAACTGCCATGGGCCCCTGCAGTATTGAAACTGTCGCCAGCGTCACCGAGTCCATGCGAGGCGAGAGAAAGACCCAAATTCACTAACAGCCAAAGGAACCTAAGCAACATTATCAAGGGGCGATCTAGAGCAGATGTGAGGGAAGCGAAGTTACGAGCTACTGTAACAGTATGTAAAAGCCTAAATCAGTATGATTGTAATGACGCCAAAAATACCAGAGGACCTTCGATCCGGTATAGTAGCCAACTCGTTTGCTCCCAATCCGAGCTCCGGGCAATGAGCATAAAGTTATTTTCTGATTTCTTTGAGCTACATGTATTTCGTCTGATTTGACTTTCGAATTTAGTTTTTGAAAGCTGTTTCTATCTCGAGGGTGAAGTCTTGTTGGCGTTGTAGTTGTTCTGCAGCTAGCTACGTCATTGAGCTGGGAGCGCGTTTGTTTGTGCGGGAACAACATTCAAGAAACAATTATCAGTATTTGAGCTCATTCCAGTAGAATCTGAATTCCTTGGCCCTTCGGTACTCTGGATGCTGTCAACGTTGTGTTTTCTATCAAGAGAGGCTCCACGAAGGAAACATGTTCCGTGCAGTAACTACTCTGCCCCTCAGGAAGCAAACGCTGCCACTTCTTGCCCGCGATGCAAGCAACAGGTAAGAGTTGGCCATTGATACGTGTAAATAACACTACAATGTAGTCATGTACTTCATTAGCTGGAAGCAGTCCAAGGTCGATCAGCTAACCCTGAGGTAGTCTGCAATGTAGTTCCAACAAGAGCAGTATGCACCAAGATCCACACGAGGCTCACTCAAATGCATACTTGCCCACACGCATAGAAAGGGCTCACGAACGCCCCTTTATCCAATTTCCACGTATTTGAACAACCCACCAATGTCCATTGATTCAAATTTGATTGGGGGTCTTGCAGCCTGACACATCACAAACTGCAGTACGGTAACAGGACTTAGTTATTTTCTCAAGTATTCAAGAGTCACCGTGCCGTATCCCAGACGAACTGATCTGACCCGACGGATCTACTCACGGTTTCTGACAAAGGGGAACTCAATCGGTATCACACACAGCACTGGGAAGCCATGTTGTTGAGCACAGGGAAATAGTTTACCTGGACACTCCAGGATTTTGAAATACAGTGCACTTAGGCGAATAATTGCAGCAAGGGTTTCTAGCGAAAACCTGAAACAAGTCTACTGCACCATGACACGTTTTGCAGCAGACAGATCCAACACAGCCACCTGGGACTGGTTGTCTACCGTAGGGTGTCGAACAGTGCATTCCTGACGGGCGAACCGCGCGCATTGCTCACACATTTTGGTAATGTGTTATGGGCGTATGATGTACATACATCGTCTTGTGAGGACGTGAACTGGACCTACTGGTACATGCACAGCCTTCTTCAGCGCAGTAAATGGCCCGTGTCAAAACTCCACATACACGCACACACACTGTACTGTACATGTTCACTGCCAAAACTGTTCGCGTGGGTCTCCCCGGGAGAGGAGAAAGAGACTCGAAAGGAATCACACACATACACACACACACACACACCGCGTCAGAGAGACCTACACTGCATTGCTTTCTTCGTCGTGTCGTTGACAGTGCACAGCAAGTATAATTATGATGTCGCTTTGTATTTGACAGTGGACTAGTACATCAAAATGTCTAACTTCTGAAATTCATCAAGACTTAGTATATGATGTCGCCTTGTATTTGACAGTGCACAACAAGTGTATGATGTCGCCATCGTTGGTGGTGGTATAGTGGGACTGGCAACGGCGCGGCAAGTGTTGCTCTCACACCCGAACAAGAAAGTTGTCGTTCTGGAGAAGGAACGGGAGCTAGGTAAGTGCTGCATGCCGGCAAGTCAGCTGCTCTGTTCAAGTGCAGTGTAGGTCTCTCTGGCTGTGTGTGTGTGTGGGGGGGGGGGGGGGGGGGTGCGCGTGTGTTTGGGAGTTGTTGGGGGAGGGTGTGGGCGCTTGTGTGGGTGGGTGGGGGGTGGTTGTGAGTGAGTACATGACGTAGATCTCTCTGGCTTTGCTACATACTGAGTGTTCTGGTGTGAGCATGCGGTAGGGAGTGTGTGTGTGGGGGGGGGGGGGGGGCAGCATCAATATCATAACCGCACTTGAACCCAGTTATCTTATGCTCAAGCTTCAGTCATCTCCTAATTGTCTTATAAACGTTATCTGCTACTAAACATGTTGTGTTTGTGTAGCCATGCACCAGACAGGACACAACAGCGGCGTTATCCACACTGGCGTGTACTACACACCCGGCTCACTCAAGGCCAAGCTCTGCGTGGAGGGCGCAGACCTGGCTTACAAGTACTGCGAAGAGGAGGGGATTCCCCACAAGCGCTGTGGCAAGGTGGGCAATCAATGGTGGACTGAAAATCAAACTGACATGTAGATATTAGACTGGATACATGTATACACATCAATGCCGACTGTCGTGTGCAAGCTATTGAAATTATGGGTCATTTTCATTTCCGCACGTGATGTCCCTTGTTTTCTGCGTACGACCGATACTTGTGCCTGGCCTTTAATACGATATTACTGTATATGTGCGGTTGGAACGTAGGCACCATAGAGACTGTTAGTTCTCAAAGCCCACGTCGTATGCCATATGCACCACCACCACCACCGCCACCACCCCTCATGAAGAAAAATGTTCCTTGTCTTGTGATCGATTTTCATGGCACACTCTCCGCACTCTTTCCTTCTGCAGCTCATCGTTGCTGTTGATGAGAGTGAGGTGCCTCGCCTGGATGCTCTCTTTGAGCGCGGAAAGCAGAACGACGTTAAGGACATTCGAATGATCGAGGGTTCTGAAATCAAGGACATCGAACCGCACTGTAAGGTTAGTGAGGTGGCTAAGCTGGTCTTACATTGTGTCATGTCTCTCATTGTTGGACAGCTCCAAGTTTTGAGTATACGGTAGAGGAAGGACTATTCATCAGTAAAAAGCTTTTTGAAAGCAACTTGGGGCCCTTGGTTTGGACTTACCGGTACTTAAAACAGGCAATGCTTGCAACATACAAGAAGTGCTGGCTTTTTTGGAAATTGAGACGAGTTCTCGGTGGTATCTTCTTTCGATTGAAGGTTGAACACGTAATAATAACACTTGAGGTTTGCTATTTTGGCACCCCTCGCATCGGTCCTAGCTATTTGCAATTATATACATGTACTTCAAAGTAGCCATCATCAGTATTTTTGGCTTAGCAGTAGTGGAATGGCTGTCCCTGGCATTTACATGCATCTTGCTTTTCTTGTCCCTTCTTTGAGCTTCTGGGTACACGACTTCGAGAAGAGATTCAGTACATCCGTAGTACGATAGGGTACATGGTGCCATCATTCGTCTAATTGTTCTTTCTTGTCCGTGTCCCCGTGTCCCTACAGGGTGTGAAAGCTATCCACTGCCCATACACTGGCATCGTGGACTGGGGTTTGGTGGCCAGGAACTATGCGAAGAACGTCGAGCAGTGCGGAGGAGTCGTGCTAACGAATCACGAGGTACGGAAAAGCCTGTTTTTTTGCTGACTTTCTGGGCATGTTTAAATCCCTGAAAAAAAACCCTGTGCTCTGCAATGTGCTCTGCAATGTGCTCTGCAATGTGCTCTGCAATGTGCTCTGCAATGTGCTCGCCTCGCTCATTGTGCCTGATGTGTGTTCGCATCTGATTTGGCTCGTTGCAGGTGAACGATTTCTCGTATCATCAAGGTGCTGCGGACTCTTCCCTGCCGGAGGGTAGTGATACACACGTCGGTGTTCACTGTGCAGAGCAGGTATGTCTGTCTTTACCAGCTCCTTATCTTTCTCACTTCAACAATAGCTAATGGTGGCCATTGCATAACGTTTCCGAGAAACTCTCCAACTCCAGTGCAGCGGTTCCTTCCGCTTGCTCATTGCCCTAATGATACCCAATGGGTGAATTGCCGTTCATTTTGTGCAGCTGAGAGCCTACTAGTATTCGGGAAATTGAAATGTTTGCAAGTGGCTATTGTATCTCCTATCAGTATTTGCGAGCCTCAACACTGGTTTTTTTTTCATTTGTGGGCAAGAGTGAGTGAGATTGTCAGTAGCCTTGTGTGTAGGCCTGTCTCCTCTATTGGCACTTGGTATCTTTCTGACTCGTATGTGCGCGTATGCATGTGTGTGTGTGTGTGTGTGTGTGTGTGTGTGTGTGTGTGTGTGTGTGTGTGTGTGTGTGTGTGTGTGTGTGTGTGTGTGTGCGTGTGTGTGTGTGTGTGTGTCATTGTTTACTCTCGTGGTTTATTTTCTTCCTGCATCAGGAGAGTGTGCTAGCACGACGCGTTATCACATGCGCTGGTGCCTATTCGGATCGTATTGCCGGCAAGTCGGGCTGCGATCGTAATCCCAGGATCGTGCCGTTCCGTGGCGAGTACCTGATCCTCAATCAGAAGCGAGCAAACTTGATCAAGGGCAACATTTATCCGGTAAGATGTGTTTCTGTTGTTGCCGCTGCTTCCCAACGTTCATTTCGTTGAATGCCAATCTTTTTTCTGCACTTTTATGATCTCCAAGGACAATCTGACTGCATGTTATAATCCCATGCCCCACTGCTATCCATCTGTCTGTCTGTGTGTGTCATGACCAGGTTCCTGATCCTCGTTTCCCGTTCCTCGGCGTCCACTTCACGCCGCGAATGGACGGCTCCGTGTGGCTCGGTCCCAACGCCGTGTTGGCGTTTGCACGCGAGGGCTACAAGCTTACTGACGTCAATCTCAAAGACGTGTCCGAGTTCATCGCTTTTAGGTATGGCGCCTGAGTGGACCCTTTGGGCCTTTACTCTGTGGCTCTCTTTTGGGTCTTGGAATCCTACAGTTGTACTCTAGCGGACATGGAAATCCAGTCGATTGACCGGGGTCGGCGCCCTCAGCGCGTACAGAACGCTGCGTGCAGTTCACATGTTGATCCGATGCGACCAGCGGGCTGCAGCGCATAAATGCATGTGTGTACCGCTTATCCACGGCTGCATGGCCAGCACCCTGGGGCCGCTAGACGGGCGAGCGGATTTCCATGTCCACGACAGTAGTTGGAACACTTGGAATAGAAGGAACCAAGTTATTTGTTGGGGCTCCAACTTTCACCCTAAGTGGATCACCAGCCATCAATAATGTTCCAATATGTGAATGGCTCTGCACTTTGTGTGCTTCGAGCGTTATTGCAAAGACAGCGCCTACCTTGATGCACCTGTATTATAACTTTATAGCGATGTCATGGAGTAGAAGATGTTAATAGTTCTATGGCATGTGTTTATTATTGAATTGTTTCATTTCTGCATGAAATGGAACAGGATTTTCTACTGGAATGAGCTGAGAGAGGGGGGGGGGGGGGGGGTAGATTGGGAATGGAGAGAATGTGGTTGGCCCAGTCCTCTTTCCAGGTTGTGCTTGCAGTGTTGTTTTCTTTTTGCCTCTTTTGCATGCAGTGGCCTGCGCAAGCTGGCGCTGCGTCATCTGCGCTTCGGCATGGAAGAGATGTACCGCGGTATCAACATTGCTGCCCAGGTCGCCATCCTGCGTCGGTACATTCCCGACATATCCGTGTCAGATGTCACAAGGTGAGATAGAGTACTTAGAGTTCTGACAAGACTTGAGAGACAGCCTGTCTGTCTGTGCAGTGTGTGATCTATGCTTGTACATGTGTTACATAATACTACAGTCCATTTCAAAACTATAGACGCGTACCTAGGCAAAAACCGTTATGCCAGCATCTATACCACATAAAATCTGTGATCACTTTGTGCATAAATTTTTCCAAATTGGGCGTCTGTTATCCAATCGTTTAGAAACTATATGAGAGCAATTGTGGAGCGATCCTGAGCAATATTCCGAAAACTATTCTCAAAACGTTCCAGCCAAATTTGAAATATTTCAAAAACCCTACGCGTCTATAGTTTTGAAATGCACTGTAGTCATTGCCAGGAGAGAGGTGTCCGATTCACCCGGCCCTGATCGCCGATGATTTACCGTACGACTTTGGTATGCATTGCACTAGTTCACACAAGCGCATGCTACCAGAAGAGTCCGCAATATATCGAGACTCCTGGTCCGGGTGTGTACTGGTGATGTATGAACTAACCCTATGGGAAGTTGGTTGAGCATTCTCTTGCATGGTATATGCGTGAACTTTTTTAAACAGCTCTCTTTCTGTCTGTTTCTCTTTCTCTCTCTCTCCCTCTGTCTCTCTCTCTCTCTCTCTCTCTCTCTCTCTCTCTCTCTCTCTCTCTCTCTCTCTCTCTCTCTCTCTCTCTCTCTCTCTCTCTCTCTGTTATTTTCACTGTGTTGTGTTTGGCGTGTCACAGAGGCCCGACTGGAGTGCGTGCACAGGCGCTGGATGAGGCTGGCAATCTCGTTGACGACTTTGTGTTCGACTCCGGTGCCGGCCAGATTGGCAAACACATGCTGCACGTGCGCAACGCTCCATCACCCGGCGCCACTTCATCACTAGCCATCGCCAAGATGATTGTGGACAAAGCAGAAACACAATGGCCAAGCCTGCTACCAACAGCAGCAGCAGCAGCTTCATCATCATCATCATGAGTGCGCTTGACGCCAGAACCGTATTGTCATCCGTTCTATTGCGGCTGTATGCATCAATCAGTACTTGTACAGACAGGCACCCATCTGTGTACCTAGTCCCGTGACATTGAGACATCTCGGATTTGGGATCCACAGCTACCGTGACTGTATTTATGCCTGCGCCACTGGTGCTGGCCATCTCCAAGGAGAGCTTCAGCGATCTCTCTCTCTCTTGTGCTCTGGCGTGCGAATGCACATGCACGTATCTGGTCACCGATGCCTCATGTTCAAGTGAGAATCGACACGCTCCCACCCTGATGATCTCTCGGCTTTCTGTCACACCGCTATTTGTGTGTTTGCAGATCCAGGCACATCACGATGACCCCCAGTCGCTCATGACTTCAAACGTTCTTGCTCAGTCCTGCAGAGGTTTATTTTTCTACACCGAGTGCCAGCAATTTTTCGGCACGTGAGACTATTAGATCATTTTCAATGAACACTGATGTTTATACAGTTGCAGTACTAGTCCAATAGCCACTGTTCACATTTAGTTTTTTTTTACTTGAGCCAATGGAAGTTGCTGCTGCATGTCTTCTAATTATACTCTGACTGTGAGTGTGTCTTGATCAGGGAATCGTGCCCATACCGGGTTAGTCTGTCCCTTTGGGAAAACGCGGCCAAGAATTCAAAATTCCGCTGCAAATTCCGCGGGGGAAAGGGGGGGGGGGGGGGTTCTGCGGCATTTTGTGCGGTAAAATCAAAAATCTGCGGCACTTTCTGCAAGTTTTTCACCCTCCTCATAGAGGATATGTCAACTAGTTGCATGAAGGAGCACTTTTCACACTATCCTTTGCAGTCATAAACTGAATGAGAGCGAAGAATCTTGGAGAGACCTGCAACTTTTAGTATTTTACCCTGAAAAATTCGGATTCCGCGGGCAAAAGTGTGAATTCCGTGATTTCCGCGGATGATGACAATTTCTGCGAAATTTGCAGCGGCCGCGAAATCGCGTTTTTCCAAGGGGACAGGTTAGTGTATGCCTCCAGGTCTTCATGTACGTGACCCTGTTGATTTTCGGTGCCTTGCCTGCCGCAGATAAGCGCCCTCTGGCGCATTCACTTTAGGTCTCAATCATTCCACGCACGCTCTTGCTTTAGCTGTCGCTGCCGATGGCATCGTCGAACACACTGCCCCTACACTCAGAGCCATGACAATGTTTAGAAATCTGTTGATTTCAGGAAACACTACAAGCATGTTGTGCCCACTCTGTGGGAGAGTACGGGTTAGAAAAGCGGATGAAATCCGGAAGAAATAAAATAAATTTGGAATACGGGTACAAATACTTGAATAGAATTTTGAAATCATCGTGTGTTTCATGGATATTGTTAGCCGGTCCAAACGAGGCCATAGAGAATGCAGGGGAGGGAGATAATAGAGAAAATCTACAACACAATAATAACTTTAGCTCTGCTCTCCACCCGAGAGGCCTCATGTTTGTCGTTATCAAGTATGTGCGCACGTGCTTGAAGACAGGCAGATCCAAAGACCAGCTTTGAACGTTTTGTGTGTTTGTTACATGGTGTGATGAGGGCTGACTTCACCCAGACAAGATCTGAGTGGTATTACGTCGTGGAAGCAGCACGTTCTGCAGCATCCACACGAATAGATATGTGAGAGTAGTTGGGTCGCGGCTGCTGGTTGCAAAGAACAGCAACGGTACCAGGTAAAACACTCGTCGCACCCTATGAGTCTAGGATTGTGAAGGCCATGTGCAGCTCCTTCATCTGCGTCCCGGTGGTGCCGGTTTCCCGCGAGCGCGTGCGTGCCACCTCGCGCAACTTCTTCAGGTTCGACCAGCATCCCTGGCTCTTCTGATATCTGCACAGAGAAGAAAACAGGAGATAGGCAACAGAAAAGCAACAAGCGGTGAACTTTTTTTTAAATGACTTTCACGTGAACACATCCACCAGGCACTACACGAGGGGCGCTCAGAACGTTTCTGGCCCAACATGCAAAATTACTTTCACGGCTTGCAATATAACGGTACGTTTACCAGTACATATATTTTTCAATGTAATCCCCCATTGACGCGTCAATGCACTTGCTCCAGCAGTGTTCGAGCTTCTCAAGACCTGTCCTGAAGAAGTCCTCCTCTCCTCATCTCGTGCATTGGTCCCAACGATGGCGCTGGGGATTCTTGCCGACCGACTGACTGACTGAAGTGACATCAAATCGAGTGCTTGTCTTTTATTTCTCCCAGTGATACACTCTGTTCGAGCACCTAGACCGCCATGTTTAGTCCATAATTATTTGCTTCTTTCTTCTTTTTCTTTTCTTTTTGACTTCTTACTCTTTTCCTTGTTAGCCGTGGTTGGCTATAAAAACCCTGCAATCGCCACGCAAAGTGGTCATTGGCTACCCCAGTCATGTATTGCTTGGAATAAAATAAGAAAATAACTAGGGACCGGCAAGTGGATTAATGTCCTCTTTGTGATACGTGATAGGGGTGAGGCATCCTGCAGCTTTTAACAACTCCATGAGATTTTTTTGTGGGAAGAGCAGGTGTGCTGAAAATTCCAATGGATCGAGTCCAGGTGACAATCAGTGTACATGTGTGATGATGAATGATGACGCCTCACCTTTCTTCCCTGGCCAGGTCAGAGTTGTCTGTTGGTGGAGCGTTTATGTTGGTCAGGATCATGGGCGCCAAGTGCTTGAGGACCAGCTTGATGGAGGATGCCGCACATTGATGATATCTGTTGTGAGAAATAGCAACCAGTACACACGAACATACTCATTCAGGCGATGACCACGATACCGTAGTGACGCGCATATATGCACATGTGCCTATACCCGGGCATAAGCGCACCCTCACAAATAAGCACATGGGCTTATAATAAATTTCACGGTTCGCGTGAGACTCGGCTGGAAGCCGAGTTTTCCGCATTCGTCGTGGGAACGCCACCACCCTCTAGGATCAAAGGCGCAGATGCAGCGCCTAAACGGTGGGAGGTGAGTAGATCAGACCCACCACCAAGTGGTCAAAGACCGAAATCCCTGCACCCATAAAAGAACCTAAATGGAATTCCATCCGCGACCCACAGACACCACAAAAACACCATGTTCACATAGCTCAATGTGCATTGCGGTATTGCACTATGTGCATAATTATGCAAGGTCCCGGTATGATAGCAACACAAGCGCATGCGCCTATGTGTGAGACAAAACGACCCGCAAAAAATAGCAAATAACGCAAAAACTCGCTCATAAGCGCATGTGCCTTTATGTGCGTCACTACGGTGCAAACTATTCGCGAAAATGGCACTTCAATCTATTGACAGGGATACGATTTTTAAAATAGATAGTGTCATTTTCACAAAAAATTGTATCGAGACCATAAAGCAAACCATAAAGCAAATGCACAAACAGTTTTCCTCTTATCTTTCACCCCGCGGGCGATATTGCCTTACCAGCTTGTAACTGGCGAGCCTCTAGCCTCAATGCAACGTGTCGCCGGGCATACGGGTAACATGGACGCAGCAGACAGGATTCGGCGTGTGGCCTCCGGTTAATAGTGGATCTGATCTATCCCCCGCCCCCACCATTTATCAGAGCTGCACCCAATGCCTGATCATGCGATGACTACTGGGCGGTTTCATCCCACAGGAGCGAAAAGGCAGTTCTTCACCTACCCGCTACGCAGATCTGTAAAATACATTTTCTAAGCCTCCGCTTCATGGCCTTGCATGGGCATAACAAAACCATGGCGGGCACAGTGCCCTGCAAGTGAACGGATCATCATCAGTTTATCTTACGTTTCATGCCGACTTTTCAGTAGCTCATCCAAGGCTGGCAATATGATGCAGCAGATGCCCAGAGACCAGAGCGATCTGCAGCACACGTACAAGAAACACGAGCACGCATCATCAGCACGTAGAAGAGAAGCCAAGCCAGCTGTCTGTACTTGTATACAGGACACACAAGACAACCACAGGGAGCATCATTGGATAGTAATATGCATGCATAAGATGCAAGTTGAGGAGCCTAAAAGCACTCAGAACAATATCAAAGAGTCGTTTAAAACATCTTTGTCATGTGACTAAATTTGTGCAGAAGGTGATCACAGCATGCAGTCCGTGCGCCAAGGCCCTTGAGAGACCGATTTTCATTTTCTCGCGGGAATCGTAGCCTCCAAGGCGCCGCACCTGCGGGCTTGTTTTCTGTTGATTTCGCCTATCTCCGAATGGTGAATATTTCAATGAAATTTGCTGCTTAGAGCCCTTCTAGTCTCGTCAGGAGACCTTTCCTACACTGGAGAGATGGCTCGGAGTGATGTAGACACCTATGGCCGTACCCTGGAAAATTATTTTGGAGCTTGCAGTTCGTGAGCAGCCACCAAGGACGAATGTCTCATTTTTGTAATTGCTGAAACGAGGAATATGGTCACCAATTTCACACCAGGTAAGGCATTTACCCATCGCGGACACTAAAGCCGCTTTGTGGGGTGATAGACCAAAGCTTTATCTTTCGAGTGCACGAGAAATTAGAGTGTTACCTATGTGCCCCACAATTGCACCCGAAATAAACCACGCACAGGCAATATTGTGATTTTATGAGAAGAGACAATTGAGCATGCTCTAAATCGTCATGACCTGTTGTGTTACTTTTCAAACACCACTCCGAGTGAGCATCTACCAATCCTTTATCAATTTTACAGGGCATTTGAGCTTAGGGGATAGAGGTGGGATATTTCACCAGCTGAAGTACTAGTTTTTTTCTGAATTTGTTGACTACTAGGTTGCATAGTGTAAATATGTCAGTATTATGTGCATTATTGTGGTGAAATTCTGAGCATCTAATTATTATAGGCACAACAGCACTGGTGCATGCCCTCTCCTAGATCCTGCTCTCTGACTTTTTTCTTGCATTGCACGACTCAAATTCGTCGAATGAAATGAAGGAGTAAATTTGTTGCTGCCAATTAACTGCATCAATTAACTGCATCAGTTCTGTTTTCCTCTGCTGTTCTTCTTTCAGTGTGGTGACTTCTGATCCATGAGGCGATGGCATGAAGTCAATAGTTTGCAGTATGTGCAATATGCGGCAGTCTCTCTGTCAATGGACCTGTGACAGCTGAAGCCCAGATGTTGCAGTTTGATGTTTATGGCCAGCAGCAATCTAATGTTGTTGCACCTTTCCTTCCACACACAGCAATGCGGAATATGTCATGGACAGACATCGCTAAACTGCCTCTTTCGAAGAAGCATCGCAATTCTTGTCTGCCAATAAACAACAGACTAGCCAGCTATAATTACAATTTGGAGGTCGGAGACGCGATCCCGTGAACGTATTGCGCCAACTGCAATGAAGAAGGCCTTAGTGATCTGGATTTATTACCATTCTCGTGTGGATAACTATGGCGTTGTGATCCAAGTCATGCAGACTATAAAATGCCTTAGACGTGAGATAGTGAAGGCACTGCCGACAGCAAGCCAACAGTGGATATGAACCACGCCGCCAGCATCATTCTGCACACCAGGAGAATCCAATACATATAGCTGCCAACTCTGATGGTATAGACCCGATAACTTGTTTTGTTACTCTAAGATTGGTATACAATTACGAATTATACATGTACTAGTGCAATCTCTATCCATATGCGTAATGCACTGTATTTGTTTCCGGTGACTGGAGGTAGTTTATCATAGCACTGTTTTATGTCCTGGTTTTGTTGAAGATAAACATTATCCAGTTAACTTGCTAGGTGCCGTATCAGTCAGCTCTTTCAGCATTTGGCTTTGTGTCAGGGGTGGTTGGCGGTGTCGCGGGTCATTCCACAGTCCGCAAAGTTGACGTTCTCGGCAACGGAGCGACCCAGTAGGCAATTGATCACCGATAAATATACTGTCATTGGTATCACGGTGCACCACAATGGCATATGGTGTGAATATCATTATGTTATTCTGCAGCGAGTCCTTGTCGTGTAGCTTGCGAAAGTTATTGCATACGGTCATTACGTGGATAATGCATAGTACTGTCTGTACACTCAAGTTTCAAGTCCAGTCCATTTTTGGAAATATGGGCTGGACACTAACGAGGGCCTGGTGACGTGTTCATAGGGCTGAGTTATGCCAAATGGTGCCATTGGCTGGGAGTGAAAGCCTTGCCCCACGCCTGCACCCTAAAAAATGTTTCGAAAATACTCAAATTCGACGACTGCTGAGAATCTAGGAAGATGCCGGACCACAGCGAAACAAGTCATCTGGCTGAAAAACGGAATACACCATTGCGTTGCCACGGCTAAGCGCAATTTTTAGGCTCACCGCACAGGTAGCGAAATGCCAAAACAAACGAGCCATAGACACAAAACCATTTTCCAAAATTGTCCACCATTGAGAATGCGACTCAAAAAGTACCCGCAAACTGCCCAGTGCGGAAAATGAAAAGTCAACTTTTAGACGCCTTTTTTGAATCTGGCGCACGGACTGCATGTGGACAATGGAACCAACCATGGCCGACGTCATGTGACCCATAGATGCAGGAGTTGACTAGTGTTGGACCCAACATGGCCGCCCCATATGGTCATGTGATAGATGTGAAACCACCACTAGGCTGGGTTTCTGTGATTGGAGATTTGTTGTTGTTGTGGTTGTTGAATTTTATCTAAAGTCGCAACACAAATAGGCGATGGCACCTCCTTTTATACATGTGAGCGACACTTAAAAAAGAAAGCGTGCTCACGGTTTTAGATTGATGATGGAGAGGATATCGACGAGCACTCCAGGATTACGTGTGCTAACTGCCGCGCTGACGCTGCTTTTCACCTCAGACTTTGACCAGAGAGAGTGAACCTTCTTCAGGTGGTGCTGACGGTCTTCTATCACCTTGCACAGCGACTCGTGGCCTGTTGTTGCATACAGCAAAGCATGGAGAAGAAGAAGAAGAGCATGAAGGTCCAGAACAGTTCAGGAGCATGCACGTATGCATGCATGCACGCGTGCACACACACACATGTGCCTGCATACAAACACACACACACACACACACACACACACACACATACACAACCGCCTGCCCGCACATGCACGCATGCACACATGCACACACTCACATCGGTTTGTACTTCCTCCGGAAACTAAACTTCGTGACTTAGACCTGCACATCCCTCGAAAACAACTTACCCTTCAGAAGCATATCGATTCCTTCCGCTTCGTTCTTCAGATGGTAGAGAAGGAAAGAAGGTTCACCGAAAAAGAAAAAGAAAAAAAGAACAATAGAAAACCAAGAGGCCAGTGAAATCGCCAGCACTGTCAACCATCCTATTTTCAAGTCACAGCATTTTATTCACAATTTCCCACAGCCAGTGAGTTTATGATGGCAAATGTCCGCGGAGCACTGTGTCCTTGCATAAGTACATCCACTATTAGATTTCATGCCGGCTAATCTTCGCATTACGCTCTTCTCATTTTTACGTCACGGACATTAGACAGCTTACAGTGCCAGTCACCAACAGGTTTGTCAAACCACTGACACGGTATGCATACAACACAGCCAACCAAGACGCAGGTCAAGACGGCTGCTTGTCGTGCCGGCACCACACAAGAAGAAAATAAGCAGGACACTACGTCTACCGGTATGTCACTCCGGACCACGGCACCATAACGTAAAGAGTCTACTGAAGACTCACCTGGCCTGACGATGACGGACGCTCAACTGCTCTAGACGGCAATGGTGGAGAGGCTGGACAGATGGTGGGTGAGAATCAGAGCCACACGGCACATCAAGTAGATCATCAGAACCACACGGCACATCAAGTACAGTGAAACCTGTCTGAAACGACCGCTCAAGGGACCTTCAAAGTACGGTCACTGTTACCAGGTGGTCTCCTTATCCAGGGTCATTTGACTGGAAATAGCATACCTTGGTCCCGGCTGCAGTGGTCTTCTAGGATAGGTGGTCGCCTTGTCCAAGTGGTCGCCTTGACAGGTTTTACTGTAGATTCCTGTAATTTCAGAAATTTTCGGTGTACTTTTATTTTTGGTACTTTCGGTGCGTCTGCTTCATACCTAAAATTTCAATACACCGAACAAACACTAACACACATAATCCAATAGGGAACTGCTTCTCTGTACCTAAAATTTCTGTTTACCTAACCTGGCCGTTTGCCCTCATACCGCAAATATTGAGCACCGAAAATTTCTGAAATTAGAGTACCAGAGTAGATGATGATCGAAGTGCATAAACCTCATCGCTACACAGTGGCACAGTGACCTTCCACAAGACTTACGGAAGTCACTTCCCTTTTAAGTGAACGTAACGATTTCCCTCACACACCGGGGTAGGAAAGTCACTAGGGCATCCGACGCCACTAATGTACGCCATGTGTCACAAGAGCTCATCGCTGGCAGTTAGGCCTGCCTCAAAATACTCATGTCACGAGTTAAAAACATGCTGGGTGCTGAGTAGACTGTTGACCGTTACAATGCCAAAAACCATTCACAGTGCACAGGACTGTAAGACCACTAATACTAACGGAAATTTAATTCTAATGTTTTACCGAAATGAAAAAAAATGAAAAAATCGTTAAAATTTGAAGCCGCTAAATCGTTAAAATTTGAAGCCGCTACGTGCAAACCGATATGTACATGTACAGTCATTTGCCGGTTTTGCCAGACAGAATTTGTTAGCATTTCACCTCGCCAACCAACAAAAAAATTAGGAGATGGCTAACTTTAATTGACGTTAAAAACTTAAAATATCTGGTCTTACAGTCCTTACCTCCTCCGTCGGACGGCGCAGGGAATGGCTCCATGGCACGGCGCGGCGGTGTTCGTGCTGTACACACGCAAGCAACCAACAGACAGCATGTATGAAGCAAGCCGGCCCAGACCTATGCACAGCGCAGTCATAGGGCAGAAAAATCCAAGCGGCAAATGACAATTCTCCCAAAGGAGTGCCGTTATACTCAAAACTTCACTTGGTCAAATATTCAATCGGACGGCTCGGACGGGGGGGGGGGGGGGGGGGGCAGACACCGGAAGGTTTACAGGCAACTTCAAAATTGCAAGCTAGTAATTGTATTTGTATTCGACTACTAGTATTTGTATTTATTTAGAATGGCAACCAGAACAGGCAAATGGTCTGAAGACAATGGCATCACCTGTAATTACTGATATGAGAAGGTGCATTACCTGTCCGCAGCTTGCCAGCAAACACATCACCTGGCGGAGGGCCATCATCATCGGGCGGTGGAGAGTGACGGGCACTCTCGTCATCTCCGGCAGCCGATGACTTGGCCGGCTGCGCTGAAGTGGACGACCTCTCCGCCGTTCTATCAAACACCTTTCTCCTGCGCACCAAGCAACACATTCAAGAGTCAGTGCGCCCAGCAGTTGAGTGCACACAGTAATGAGTAGTACCACCGCTGTAAGGCCATCACCAAGCACAGCACCACCTCATCACTACTAGTACACAGAAACCTAGCCTTGAAAGACAGGTGGTCTTTCTACACAGGTCTGTTGAAGTATGTATGGCACTGGGCCTGAGATGTCCGGTCTTCCAAAGCAGGTGGTCTTCCAACACAGCTCGTCTCTTAAGGCAGGTGGCCTCCTAATGCAGGTAGTCTCTTTTAAGGTAGCAGTTTACCCAAAACATGGTCAAAACATGAATTCCATCGGATCATGTCGAGTGATGACTCAAATGAAAGCTAATGGTCTAGAGAGTACCAGCCTAAAATTATATGGTCATACTCCAAGCCGTTGTTGAGTTATGCACATTTGAATGCGGACGCATTTTAAAATCCAAATTTGCGGACAATTAGAAAAGTTCAGATAATAACGACAAATACGACATTCAATTCCAATTGAATTTTGGCTGAACCCAAGGAAATCGTGGCTTTCCCTGCAGATGCGATTTGATCGAATCATGACGTAGGTCCGTGGCAGCAGCTGCCCAGCGATCTGGGCTGCGAAAGTCCACATAGGTTGTGCGTGCGTCCGTGAAGTCTGAAATAAAAGATTATTTGAAATTGTCACATTTTGGTATTCGCTGTGGTCGTATTTGAATTTTACCTGTTTAGTCGGCCTGTCAAGGTGTTTCCTGCCTGACACTAACTATGGGGAACAAGACGGGAGCAAAAAAACGCGCTCGAAAGCGTGCTTTCAAAGGCAACCAGTTCACTTTGAAATCGTCGCCTGACATTCCTGAAACAGGTGATGCCAGCCAACCCAATAATTCCCCTGCAGACGTGGTGAATGAAGATGACTCCGTATTTGCGAGGAGTGTGATGGATATCCCTGACGATATGAACTCTGGTGACTCCGAGAGTGACGAGGAGACTGATGAGGAGAGCACAAATGAGGATATTGAGGATTCTGTTCCTGGGAATAGAATTGTCAACATGATCAATTTACAAAGTGCTTTGGAAGCCCACTGTGTGTGTGCAGTATGCAAGAAAGGGCAGTTGCAGCTGAAGGAGTCCGGCCGAGCCGGTCTGGCATACCTGTGTGAGTTGACTTAACGAAGCTGTGTCGTTTCCTTTGGCTACCAAGTCACCAGGTGTAAAGTTCTACGACGTGAATCGCAGAAGTGTCCTGTCCACGCGCATGATTGGAGGTGGGCTGGAAGAGTTGAAATGAGTATGTGCATTTATGGACATGCCACCACCCATGGCCAAGAAATCGTATCGGAGCCATTCAGCTGCAATCTTTCATGCTGCTAAGGCAGCTGCCATGCAAAGCATGCAGAAAGCAGCACATGACATCCGGGACGCTCAGCAAGAGCAGGGTAAAGCCGACTTCCGTGATAATAATGGCAAGCACAGACAGAACATGGATGCGTCGAGGGTACAGCTCTCTTTTTGGGTCCAAAGCGCTATTGCTTATGACACACGGAAGGTGGTGGACATAGAAGTTCTTTCAAAGTACTGCTCACTGTGCTCTACCTGGAAGTCAAGGCTGTCGAAGGGCAGTATTACACAAAATAAATTTGATGACTGGAACGCCAAGCACGTCCGTGAGTGTGTAGTGACAACAACGGTGTCGGCACCAGCGATGGAAATGGAGGCAGTGCGCACCATCTGGAAGAGATCGGAAGAAGTGAACGACCTGCGGTACACGGTGTACCTAGGAGATGGTGACAACAAAGGCTATTCTGCAGTTGCTGCTGACAAGCCGTATGGGGAGACACCCATTGCGAAGGAAGAGTGCATCGGTCATGTGCAGAAACGGTTGGGCAAAGGCCTCAGAGATCTTTTAAGAGCCGCCTGGGAAGTACGAAGCTGTCAGATGGAAAGGCAATCGGTGGGAGAGGCCGCTTGACCGACAAAACAATCGATTCCCTCCAGAACTTATACGGAATTGCGATTCGCCGGAACTCTGGTAACGTGACTGAGATCGCCAGCGGCATATGGGCCTCCTTGTACCATGTTGCGTCGAGTGACGAGAAGCCGAGGCATGACTTCTGTCCTCCAGGCTTGGAATCATGGTGCAAGTGGCAGCAGATCAAATCTGGGAAGGAAGGCACATACAGCCACACCAATCCACTGCCTGAAGCCGTACTGAACGAAGTGCGCCCGGTATACATGCGGTTGACGGACAAGTCACTGCTGGATCGCTGCAAGAAGGGAGCCACACAGAATGCCAATGAGGCACTCAACCACATGATCTGGCGCTTCTGCCCCAAGGAGAAGTTCTGCAAGGCAGAGAGTGTAATGACGGCGGCCTACTTTGCTGTTCTCCTCTTCAACGAAGGCTGTGGTGCATTTGAGCAGCTACTGGCCGATCTGAAGTGCGCACCATCATCAGCATTTGTCCTCTGAGAGCATCAAAGCTTGGGAGTCAGAGAGGGATTACCATCGTAAAAGGAAGAGTTCTGAAGATGCTGTGCTGTCTAGGAAGAGGCGAAGGGCAAGCAAGAAGGGGTTTGGTGATGCAGCCAAGGAAGCAGAGGGTATAGCATATGCTGCTGGTGGATTTTAGCTCAAATTTAGTTCCAATTTTCAGCCTTTTTTGGCATAATGCGTGTCACTTGATGCAACGTATCTTTGCAGCCGTTCATCCTATAGAGGACTTTCCAATGAGTCATGCCGTGCGGCCTATGAGGATTCGGGCCAAAGATCATCGAGTTCACCACCGATCACCGGACTTGAAACGGAGCTTGGGTGGCAAAAAAAGAAGACTGCACTGGAAAGAAACAGTGTTTTTCGAAAGAAGTTCCATTTTGCATACTGTAGTTTGAGAATACCAAAGGGCTGCTCGCGATCGGATGTTCCCACACCTGGATCGTCTTTGAGTTGTTATCGTTTTCCCTACGATGGAGAACGACGGAACCAGTGGATGACGGACACACGACTCGAGAACTTCGCTCCTTATGCAAATACTTCGAAGTACACGAATATTGTTCCATCACTTCGTTGGCGAAGAGAAAAGTCATGATCATCCCTGTCACCCCAGTACGTATCGAATTAACTAACTAACTTGTTCAGCTCATTTGTGGCAGCACCAGTAAAGGCGGAAACACGAAGATGATTCCGAACACTATCAACTTACTTAGTTTGTTGGGGTGCAAGGTATAGCTGGAGTTTGATGATTGATAGTGCTGATGCTGATGGTAATGACTAATGTACCCAGCTCTATTATGCACGTGCCTCTACATGACTGGTGGTGCTAGCTATAGTCTAGTACTGGCCCTGGGTGCAACTCCGGCATTATCTCTTCCATGCGAGTGTGTATGCTTCATGTTCTGCACAATGTGTATTTCCTTTGTCATGGATAAAATAATACCGGTACTCTGATCGACCTACTTGCGCAATCTTCTTCTGCTTCCCACTTGGTTGCTGCGCTGTGCAGTTCTTCATCTGCTGCGGCACATACTAGTATACCTCATCTTCTGTCTTTCTGGACAATTAGGTACATGTATTCAGCTTCTTGATCTTCTTGTGGCGAGGATCATCTTGATCTTACTTCTTGTGTAACTCTTGCAAAGGCAGTAATGGAGGACACTCTACCGGTAATCAGCAACTGCTTATGGAGAATGCCAGGTCGAGGGACGACCAGGAAAAAACAATTGCTGTATTGGATGTGCATTCATCAGCGTGTTTTAAGATCAGGACAACTAAGTTCGCCACTACACCAACTTTTTGGCTACATAGGACCAATGATGATGATGGCCGTGTTTGACTTTGTCAGCTTTGCTACCAGCCACCGCATGTCAACATTGTCATACTCGTACTGATAAGGAAGAAAAACCCACACACGCACGCACACACACGCACACACACACACACACACACACATGGATACACTGACAGGCATGCAAAGCAAGAGAGACAGAGAGAGTCAGGCAGCGAAAGAGAAGTGAGACTACTTGTAGGTTATGGGCACGGTGCTCCAATTTCTGCCCAGCTGAAGTAAAATCCATGTACACTATTTTCGTGTAGTGTTCATTGACGGTGCCAGCCACTGGTGAGTGACCCAGTGGTGTAGGTGTTGACATTCAGCACACATCACATTTCAGTCTCCAACGTAAATTCAGTCAAAACAACACTGCACTGCAGCAACATGGGAGCATGCTTCTCCCAGGCCCACCATGCAAGTGCAGTGTGCGCCAAAAAACAATTCCAGGTAATTCAGCAGCTACCCAAGGATGGACAGGTTCGGCAAAAACACTCCGCGAGTGCCTGACGTTTGCAAACGAATTTTGTTGACAGTTGTTGTTTCTTCCTTCGATTGGGCAAGACACGATCATGTGCCAACCCAGTCAGCAATGAGACACATACATTTGTATCCATCAGGGCTATTGTAAGACTTTAGAGAGTCCTTTGCATATGTGCTGGGGACATTCACTAAATATTTAGAGAGGCCTGGATACCCAACGCAGGGGGATTGGCTGAAAGGTCTTCGTTCATAGGTAAATATGGATCAATGTACTGGGCCCACGGATTCTGTCAATCTTCTCGCGGCAACGCCTCTTCAAGGCTGGAATAAACAGTAGAGTAACTGCGGCTAGTAATCCTCGCGACTTACCGAAACTATTCACCACATCAAAGAAAAGCAAAAGTGCTTCACCACTGCGACGGCCTGCAACATCATTTTCAACCGTACACCGAACAACACATTTGATTCTCTTTTTGCCACCCAAGCACATTTTACCGTAGGACACGGACTTGTCTTATGGGTGATCTTTGGGTGGACACCGGGAAGGCGCCAAAAAGGTGATGTAATGGAAAGTCCTCTATACAATCACTTGATAGTTCACTTTGCACTAGAAAGAAATTATCTATCCGATGAACCTGAGGTTTGGATGATAGGACTTCATTGATAATCACTTTTTACTTGAAATGTTCAGACTACAGTCAGACCTCGCTTAACCGCACACATCTGTTTTCCACAAAAACATCCGGATAGGCGAGGTAACCGGATAACTGAACACACATACTGTACATGCATGTGGCATGTCAAAAGCAGTGACATCATACATACATGTAGACAGGTCTTATGCAGTATGTAGCGTGCCCAGTATGTAAAACAAGCGAGAAAAATGACAAGTGCATGCAACTGAGTGCTGTCCGCACACACCCAGCAGGTCAAGGACCTCATTTGCTTGTACAACTCCTTGATACTAGCTTCTGCAAGTGCTAGCCAGCCACATGCAACCGGATACGACGAAGCATTTTGTACACATTTTAACCAGTTTGTACACAAAATCATGCACCGGTATGCGGATCGCGAGGTCCGGTTATGTTGTATGCATAACATATGCTGCACATCGGTAACCAGCGATTTTCTTCCGGATGGCGAGGGATCCGGATAAACGAGGACCGGATAAACGAGGTCTGACTGGACTTCTTTGCCGCATTTTCTTCTGCTAAATTCAGCCAGCTGCTGCATCAGAATTGCAAACACCGGGCTTGATATTAGAGGCTCATTGGATAGCTATGACACCACTACTTGAAACGCTGTAAGATATGACCGACCTTAGTCACAGTAGCTAATGATATCGTGCATCAGGTGGTGCGGGTTCTTTTCGATAGACGCCATTTTTGAACTTTTACCTCTACCACACATTGAGGGTGTTGTTGTACACTATTATATCATTTTTAGCATCCGGCACATGTCAGGAAGTAATGCTGAAAATTTGAAGAGAATCTATAAAGGTGTTCTTGAGTTACGAACGAAAACGTGCGTCGGGGTAGGTTTTGGGTAGACTGCTACCTTTTAAGGCAGGTGGTCTCCTAACACAGGTAGTCTCTTAACACAGGCCAATCAGACATGCACAATGAGCACGGGCACATGAAATAAGATGCCAGTGGCCACAGTGGCGGTCAGAACAACACCCAGGTTGTCTTACGTGCTGTGAGACTGTGCTGTAACAGGACGTTCTGGAGCATCGTCAGTCAAGCGAGTTTTCTATGAAGACAAGAAACATGCAGCAACAAAAGACTTGAAACCTCGTAGTTAAAGCAATCTGACTTTGATGGTTTGAGCCGGCTGAAAAATGCTTAGTTGTTCACGAGCTGTATTGGGATCGGTTCGGCCAGTAAGTCCGAGCTCCGCTGGGGAGACCTAACAGGGTCAAAACAGCTAGCTGTCAAGAGATTTGAAAGATTCGACTTGAAAACATTCAACAATAATAACAAAGATAAATAAAGACGAGAAGGAAAGGATAGTTATGGAAGGCAATGACCTCCCCCCCCCCCCCCCCCCCCCCCCCTCACACACACAAACACAGATAAGGATAGAAGCACCTGTACTGGTGACCTAACTCGTACAGCCATGTAATACGAGTCAAAGTCTGCAATTTGTGTGTGTGTGTGTGTGCGTGTGTGAATGTACATGGTGCCTGATGGTGTCCTTACCGTCATGTCCACCACCCACACTGAGATGTTGGTCTGGAAGGACGACGCTGATATCTACAAACACACATAGTGCGCACAGCAGTACACAAAACATGCCAAACATACATACACACACATCAAACCATCACACACACACACACACACACACACACACAGGACAAGGCACGACATGCATCAAATCAGAGAATGACAATGACCACCATCAACAGTCCTGGAAGAGCAGGGAGATACCATGAGTGTCTCCGTGGCGCAATCGGTTAGCGCGTTCGGCTGTTAACCGAAAGGTTGGTGGTTCAAGCCCACCCGGGGACGCATATCTCTTTTTACATTCCTTCCCAAACTTTTTTCAATTTTTTTAATTTCCAGTACTGTACATGCAATGCCAGTAAAATATCAAGCTCATGGTGCGGTTGCTGTGTAATTTCTCAATTTCTCGTTCGGAAATCGTACACACCACCAAGATTGCAAGAGCTGGCGTCCACGCCGAAGAGATGCTTTGCTTGGGGTCACCCTGGACTCTGGGAGGACTTGGGAGGCCCACCTGGACAGCACTACGGCCCGCGCAGCTAGGAAAACGGATGCACCCTGGCGGGTACGCAGGTGTCTAACCTCCCCCCCCCCCTCCCGCATCAGATTCGCCGTGCCGGTGATCACGCCAGACCTCATGTATGCATGGAACGCATTCTCCAGTGTGCTACAGCTGCAATGGCTTTAAAAAAGTCTTCAGTCCAGAACTGCACAGCCAGAGCTGTGTACAGCTGCCCTCCTACAGCATCGGTGCGACTGCACTTCATAAGGAGGTCACTGTTCAGGGCGGCAGAGTCACTGACGCAGAAGCCGCTGTACCTGGTGTGGTGCTGTGTACATGATTTTCCGCGCTTCTCATAGTGTCACCAGGGGAACGACGTGCTTCATAAGAACCGTGAAACAAAAGCTCTTTGTGACTACGCGTCAGCTTGAAAAAGTGACGTTCACGTTAGAGCGCAAATCACGCGAAATGAAACCCCTCTATTGCATAGAATGCTGCCCAGTGACGTCCGAGCACTCTTTACAGCCCGGTAGTTCCACATGTCCGCAGTCCAATACACCTTGGAGCAGGAGTCGTAAAATACCGGTATTTACGACTCCCTGCCTTGGAGTAACTTGCATGTCACTGCTGCTGTTGTTGTTGTTGTTGTGATCCACGTAAGGTCCACCTTTCACGATCAAAACACACATTGATCAAGCACCAGGCACAAGCAGGTCTCCGTGGCGCAATCGGTTAGCGCGTTCGGCTGTTAACCGAAAGGTTGGTGGTTCAAGCCCACCCGGGGACGCTTCACATTTTTTTGTCGGCTGACGTTGTGGTGTTTTCATGACAAAGCTGAAAGATCTCCAGCGATTCAAGTGTGCCGGCCACTGGTATTTGAGCAACTCGCAGTGGAACAGGGCCTACAAATATCATTTTGAGTACTAGTAAACCCATTCTTTCTCTGAGTTTGCTACAGTATCCTTCCCCTTATGCCTGTCTTTTGCATACTGCCTTCGTTCTCTTTGGCTTAACCTGGCAAGTGCGTCCACATTTATAGTCTTTGGGTCTTCTCGTTTCTATCACACTCTTGTTATTCCCTACCCCTAATATGCATTTGATCTCCCCATCGTATTGTGCACTTTTCTTTCGCTTCTACTCACCGGAACACCACAAACTCGTTTGTTTCATGAAAAAGATCGATAATCCTTGAGGGCAGTAAAGAGGTGAAGAATGTGTTCGACAAGTCGTCATCATGTACTTGTGACCCCCTGGCCCCGACCCAGAACACATTAACTCATTTGTTACTGGTTGGGAGGCATATTATTTCTAAAAGCAGAATCTTGGACAAACGGGGACGCAGAGGGCCAAGAGACAGAAGACATCGGATGCCACAAGACAAGAAACATATATGACAACGAGTGCAAATAATAAGCGAACGGCATTCCGTTACAATCGCGCATGGCTTACCAGTTGATTAGAGGACGCTGCCATATCCGCCACTCCGCCCCAGGGCATGGCCAGCGAGTCACGGCAAGTCGGCGGCTCCCAGCCATACACCTGTACGGACAGGACACCCGCACACACACACACACACACACACACACACACACACACACACACACACACACACACACACACACACACACACACACACATGCCCAACGCTGAAGCGATGATAGCGAACAAGCTATGTTTGGCACTCAGAAACACACCCACCCACCCATACACATGCACATTTGTGCTTGCTCACTGCCAGAAAACTGGTCACGCGGGTCTCCCCTCGGAAGAGGGGAAAGAGATTCAGAAGAAATCTTAGGAAGGTGACTCGATGATTGAACCATTCGGCGGCCGACAACCTCCATATCCCAACTCCCAAGTCTGACCCAACTCCCAAGTCTGACCCAACTTATGGGCTCGCCACATCGCAATAAAGTAGGTGAGAAAAAAGGTTTGACAGCATCAGGGTATCCGTCCCAGGGTTCAAATATGTTTACCCCAGCCCGCAGTGGAGGTAAATGTACATGATGCTACAAACTGTAGTGTGGGTTTCTAAATCAGAGTTCATCAAGCCAGAAGAAGCTCATTGGTTACTCAACATGCATGTATATTTTAAAGAGAGAGAGAAAGAGAGAGTATAGTCCGCAGTCCAAGTGCTCAAAATGTGTCTCTAAAAAAATTCTGTTCGCCTTGACGGGGCGCCGAGGTTCAATTTGGGGGCCTGAAAGAGGACCCCTTGGGGTGCCCAAAACAGTCGATAACTGCTTCTGGATCTGGGGCGTTCTCTCGATAGCGGCGAACTTCTTCGGGGCAATTCCATGCACAAGTTTCGCCCAGCGTGAGTTTGAGCACGCGCCGTACCTGCTCAAAAGTCCAAAGATGTCAAATTTGAAATCTCGCACACGTGGAGCGCCACGTGGTGCGTTTTTATTGTGAATCTGTATGCCTGTCATGGTTGTCTGAAGGCAGTGAAGTAATTGCCTGACTGTGTTATGGTTGACTTCACTCTTTTTTGCCATTGACCGGCCTTTCTCACAATAGCTATTGATGTAGAGACATACCGTATTTCCCCGATTATAAGTCGCACTCGATTATAAGTCGCACCCTCATTTTCAGGTTTGAGCAATATTGTTGCGATATATTCACTTCAGTAGTAAGTCATGCTCGATTGTAAGTCGCACCCCCTTTTTACCCTGAATTTTAGTGTAAAAAGGTGCAACTTACAATCGGGGAAATACGGTACTGTCTAGCCTTCCCCTAGCTAGTGATCTTATTTTTAATCCACTATCCAGCAGCTCTCCTAGGTGCGATCTTGCCTGTAATACACAATAAAATCAGTTCAGTGACTGCCGAGTTCGAGATCACAACATGCTTCAGAATTTTAGGGCTCTCGGGTGCGCTCAGTGGTCCCGCGCGCTTAGTCTTTTGGCGATACATGAAAGTGTCCGCAACTGCAGTGCGGACACTGCAGGCGCACCGGCCACTGAGTGCAGACACTTTACTTGTTGGTGCACAGGGCCAGGTGCCATCTCCTTTGTGCCGGAACACAAAACTAAGAGAACTCTGAAGTGTCTTCACACAATGAAAGTGGTTTTTAAAAGTGCCAAACTATTTTGACAGCCGGCATGGCAACACAGGAGTCTTCCACTGACAGAAGGAACACTCGTCAGTCGCTAAGAGCTCCTGTTGTTGAACCAGGACGCAAGAACTGCTTGTTTTGTGGTACGCTGAAAAAAAATTGGCCAGTAGTACAACAAAGCAGGCGACATCTCAACTCGTGACAGTGGAAGCAGAAAGCAAATTGCGGAACGCTGCTGCCACACGTCAAGATCAGAGGATTTTGACAGCAATTAGTTCAGGGAACCTGATCGCTAGAGAAGTGCACTACCACAAGTCTTGCTACCATTCCTACACTCGAGCAGAGACTCAGACCTCGTCTGCACTCACGAAGAGGCCGATACACGTCTGCTTCTTCATGCAAAACATGCTGCTTGCGCCGGTTGTTCCCACGTTACAATTAAGACGCCCGGCACTGATGTGGCAGTACTGGCCACTGCGTTCTGCAAGTCTATTCCATCGCGCCTGAGTCTCCTCATCGGAGCAGGGTCAAGACTCCGGCAAATAAACGTCAATGCTGCAAGTAACAAGTTGGGGCAAGAAGTCAGCAGCGCACTTCCTGGTTTCCATGCTTTCACCGGGTGCGATACGACTAGTGCGTTTGCTGGCCGCGGCAAGAAGGCAGCCTTCAAACTTCTATGCTCTGACAAGCCAGTATCAGTACTCGCCCGCAGTGCGTTCGTGGCTGTAGGCAACCAGTCCGAGGCTCTTCCAGCTGAGCACATTGCCACCCTGGAGAAATACATCTGCATGCTCTACAATGCAACACAGTGTAGCAGCGCCAATGATGCAAGGTACCAGCCGTTCTGCACCAGGAGCCTCCAGTCAAGCCAGCTGCCTCCATGCAGGGATGCATTCCTGAGGCACTGCTCGCGGGCCAAACTATCAAGCAGGTGTATGGAGGCGGTGCCTTGTTGCTAGTCCCGTGGACATTCCGTCAGCACACCAGGATGGTCAAGGTGAGACCCTACACCATCTCAAGATGACCTGCATGAGGTCAGAGTCGCATGCTTTCAGTCACTGTTTGGATTGCGTTTGGATAAGCTAAGGATGCATGCTAGGTACTTTTAGGTTTCTAGATTTTCCGTTGAATCGAGTACGGCAGTCCAGTAAGACGAACAAACTTTTACATTTCATGTGACTCTTAAGTTATTTCCTAAGGATGGCAACTCAGGAGCGATGGATGTCCGAGTATAGATTGGACCGACCTGCCACCTGCACCTCGCTCTATTTTAGAGTTTCTGCGACGTGGTTGCAAGACTGGATGCGGTGGAGGAAGCTGCCCGTGCCGACGTCATGCATCGCCGTGCACGGATGCATGCGGATGTCGCCACAATTCCCCAGTGGCCTGTACCAGCTTTATGGAGGAACTCGCGGCATGTGAAAACGAAGATGCGCCGTTAGTGGATTCAGTGGATGAGTAAGCTATCGGGCTCAACTGTTTACCTTCACGCATGGTAGCTACTTGCAATGCTGAACAGTTGAACTAGTTTCATTCCCTTTGTTCCCCTGGTCTTTCGTTCACAATATGCACGGAGTTCGACTATCAGTATTGTCAAGAGTCCATAACCCCCAGAGTGTGCAACGCCACACAAATCTCTGTCACAACTCGTTTTCAACATTACGTCATTTTCATGTAGCTGCGCGTGCAGGCCGCGGACATTCGCTACATGAAAATGACGTAATGTTGAAAACGAGTCGTGACAAGACCCTATCGCGCGTTGCACACTCTGGGGTTTTAGAGTCTTGGTATTGTCTAAGATTTGCTGAACTATTTCCCTGAGTTCTAAACAAAGTTGATGCCGCGTTTCTTTCCGTTGAGGTGCTGACACTTTGTAGTAGGAACGGCGCCATGCTATACGGTGTGCTTCGTTACCAGTGTTGTCCTAGGTGACACGGTAACTAATAACACACTGCATTCAACCACTGCATTGCTGTACTAACCAGTACGTTGACTTACACATGAAGTACAATACATGCACTCCTTCTAAGGCCGATGGATACTCGGCACGGTTCTTTCTCGCATTCTTTCTAAATAGTTTTTTGGGTGTATTTTGTGGTCACATGTAATTCTAGAACATAGAATTGTTAGTTTTATTGCTCTCAACTCATCCCTTAGGTGCTAGAGTGCTTGTAGGTGCACAATGCAAGGAACCTACCAGTATTACATGACTATTGTGTCGCATGTTGTGTCATACTGTGCAGTACTATTTCTCCTCTCTACATGCCTATACCTCATCCAAATTCAGTAATTTTTTGTATGCTGGCTCTCCTCGGCGTTTGTGTCATGAATCCAGTCAACAAACATCGCTACAATCAATAGCCTCAAATTCAAATTCATGATTCAGCTGCCATGGCAACGCGAGGAAAAACAATTTCGGCAATTTGGTCAACAAAGCCACAACACAGCTAATCAAGAGACACATCCCTGGAAAGCCCTGCTCTTGCTCTTTCATTTGGTCATGTCAAACCTGGGTGCCCTTGCATGGCGAACAAAGTCATAATTTTGAACCCTGGACTGCGGACTAGTATATGAGCCTAAAACACACACACACACACACGCACACACGCACGCAAAAACACAAGCTCACCCGCAGCAGATCCTTGTAGCCAGCAAAGAGGCAGAGGCCATCTGGGTGGTAACTGATACATCTAGAAACAAAATAACATACACAAAGACAGACAGCCATTCACACACTGGACAGCTACAAAGGAACACTACGCTGATTATGGGCATGACAACTGACATTTAGCGGCAACAAGTTAGCCTGACGTGCAGTTCACAACAAAGCAGAACAGTCAAGGAGAAACAAACGCACATACACACACCACGCATACCTGACAGCGCTGGAAGCCGGGTCTGATTGGGATACCAGATCAAACGATTCCAGATCCCAATAACGTACACACCTAAGAACAGCAACGAGAGAGAGAGAGAGAGAGAGAGAGAGAGAGAGAGAGAGAGAGAGAGAGAGAGAGAGAGAGAGAGAGAGAGAGAGAGAGAGAGAGAGAGAGCGAGAGAGAGAGAGAGAGGGAGAGAGAGAGAGAGAGCGAGAGCGAGAGCGAGAGCGAGAGCGAGAGAGAGAGAGAGAGAGAGAGAGAGAGAGAGAGAGAGAGAGAGAGAGAGAGAGAGAGAGAGAGAGAGAGAGAGAGAGAGAGAGAGAGAGTGAGAGTGAGAGAAAGAGAGACTCAGTGTGTGTTGGGGGGGGGGGGGATCCACCAAGTCCAAGCTAGAGAGAGCCACTGTGACTGATGCGTAGTTTGCAGATGCTGCTGCACTGTTCACCACATCTCGAGCATGCCTTGACACAATGTCGAGTTCATTGCCTATGCTGCGTCATGGGGCCTCGCAGTCAGTGTCCGGAAGACGAAGGCTTGCCTGACAGGGAAGTCATCAACATAGTGAATGAGTTTGTGTATCTTGGCAGCGGATTGAATTCTGAGGGTTGTTTGGATACGAGGTTTTGCGTCTTCTTGCCGAGTCCTCCCATATCTGTGGCTGCTTCCGAGAGCCCATATTTCGTAACAAAATAATGACGACTCGGACTAAGCGCATTGTGTACTAAGCAGAAGTCCTCTCTACGCTTTTTACGGCTCAGAGACATGGACTGTCAAGGCCGAGCGACTTCGCCGGATGAACACTTTTCATCGTGCCTGCATCACACCATGCTAGGTGTGTCCCGTGCCGAGCAGTGGATTCAGCAGCTGACGAGCGCAGAGCTAGCTCGTAGCTTTGGATTGGAGGTGGATATTAGCGGATGCTTCATTTATGATGGTGTTGTGATTCAAGGCATCACCTGACCCGCCGGAATGGATTTCTGCACACTACTATCATGCCCATATTTATATTCTACGTCTACAGGCATGCATACTTGTACGCACGTAAATGTGCCAATTCCGTATACGCATTTACTTTTCTCACCTTTCCGTTTTTGGCACATGGCACACAGACCCCCCATGCAGTTTGTACGCACTGCTGGCATGCTGACAGCTCGTGCGTACAAAGGTTGTGCCCGTTTCCGCAGTGTGTATTTTTCTGTAATCTTTGACTGGTGGCTTTTGTGGCCATGCGTAGAGTGTTTACTTACTTCTTGTTTCTCTTCTCTCTGATGGGAGATGTTTGAGATAATTTGTCCAGCTATGAGCTAAATTCTAGCTTACTCAGGTGCTTTCTGTCGACCAGGGGATTTGGGGATTTCGAACATCGTAAGCCGCGTGAGTTAGTGGCACGCGTAAAAGCAATCACTAAAATGGCTCGGCCCCGTAGCGAGGATGAACTTATCTTGCCTCCTGCGGAGGGTGCTCTTTGCGGAGCTGCCACAAGCCCGCCCACGTCATGACCCGGAGCAGCGTTGGAGGGATGGTGTACAGCAGGATTTCCGTACGATTGACATTCCTGAATAGCATTGGTGCGAGCTTGTGCAGAGTTGTGGTGAATGGAGGCAGTTGTGCCATCGTTCGAGGCCGCAGCGGATGGCGGTGAAGGGATTCCGTTGCGTGCGTGGTCATGTCTTCGGCTCTCGAACACCTCTAAGGCACTTTGTTGACGTAACACACTCTGAATAAGTCTAAGCTTACTTATACACGTACACTCATACCACGGTTATCCGGACCCCGAATTTACGGGTACTTCGGTCTACCGGGCACCCTTTGGGTGAGTTTCAGTGGAAATATTACTCTTTTGTCACTTTTTGTGGAATTAGTGATGTAATATGCCATACCTATGGCCTTTCCCCATCAAAAAAGTATGTTATACGGACGTATGGACAGTTCAAAGTAACAAGCAGTGCCCGGTCCCGGACCGCCCGGATAAACGAGGTGCTAGCATTCACACAGGACCCTGCAAAACCAAGAGCAGTGAACGCAGCACATCCTGACAACAGCACACCTCCCCGTACCTATCACTGCTTCCCGTCGCCAGCAAGAAGTCGTTGGGATGGAACTGCAGACACTGGACGGCACCGCCGGCGTGAGGAAAAGTGTGCATGAGCTTGCCGGCCGTCAGGTCCCACAACTATCAGAGAATGCACACAAAGAAGAAGCAAAGAGCAATCTGCTGCAAATCAAAGATCAAATGGCCACGTTGGTTCCAACTCCACACAAGCCCTGCACATATGAGTCACATGATGCTGCCGCCCAAGCTGGCTACACTGTCCACACGCCATGATCATTGCTTACACACATCTTGTCACAAGACAAAAATACGAAACCCTCCATACTAGAATGGACTCGGATGGAGAGCCAAGGATACATTTATAAAAAATGAAAAGGACCAAGGAACTACACGTTACGCTATAAAGCTGTTAGCCAGTTAGTTGTAGAACGTCAGTACTGTCGGTCAGTGTCGTGCAATGTTATCGCATGAGCTGATTGTTTAGTAACTGGTGGTGTTAGTGGACATTATAGCGTAACTTGTAGTTCCTCCATACTAGTGCTAGGTTCCCATCTCCCGCATGCAATGCATTGGAAAAAAGGAATTGGAGAAACTTTCTGACAAACAAAAGCCCCAAAGCACTGGCAGCGCTGAATGATTCAACCAGTACATGTACTGGAGCAAGGAACCATGAAGCCATGCTCATGGGCACCCTACCATTGCGGTTCCGTCGTCGCTACCAGAGATGACCCATTTGCCGTCAGGACTGGTCTGCAAACATCTGATAGTGTCTGTATGGCCCTGCATGCACACACACAGAATAGAACATTGTAAGATGCTAGTTGTGAAAAGAAGAAGGACAAAATGTTACGAGTTATGACTAACTGTCCACCAACGTAACCAGATCTTATACAGTCAGCGAGTGCGACAACATGGCACAAAACTGACAAGGAGTTACATTAAGATGCTAGTATTAATTTTAATTAAAACAACTACAGTCCAGTGTATTTTTCCACACGTATAGCGTGAAGTCCTCGATCTATGCTTTTGCTTTAGCTCTATAAGTTGCTGTATTTTGACATTTTCCATTATTCCCTGTACTTTACTACCCATGATGAAAAGGGAACGAAAACGTTCGGTTACTAAGTTGGCTTACTTGACTGTGTGCGTCGGTGCTGACACTTTTTCGAAATTGGATACACCTCCACCTTTCTCCTTACAGTCCAGTCCAGTCCAGTCCAAAAGGATGGGTCCTGGCTCTGGCGAGCTTCCGTTTTTGGCCATTTTATCGTACATGGTGCTGAAGTGTAATGGTGACCCCCTCCACCATCCTGACTGACACTAGTTAGTATTCATGGTGTTGTGTGAATGTCTCCTAGTACAAGTACGTGTACTAGCTGCTTCTGTTCTTTGCTGTGTGCACTGTTTGTGTTCTTTCCTGTATACATGAGTACTTGCATGGCGTTGTCGTTCAGGGATGAGTCGTGCGTGACTCCTTGTTCCACTGCATGTGCGGTGTGCTTCTTATCTTCTAATCTATAGGCTTCTTGCGGTTGGTGTCCGCTTTCTCTTCATGATCATGAGCCACTGCGTTGTATAGACTGCATGACGTGCTAACGGTGGCTGCCGTGCGGTGTGTGCGATTCACTGCATTCCTGACACTGCTGCTTGCAGGCGCATACATGTACTGCACCTTCGCGTGCTCTGTACTTTAGTCTTTAGTTCCGGTTCGATGCACCATGCGCATGCGTCCGGCATGGTGCGACAGGGTTCTTGCTCTCCCAACATTGTTTTTTAGTTAGTTCTTTTTCTTAGTCCCAACAATAACCTCATGGAATCAAATCAGTGTGAAACGTAACTATGAGTTCGGTTGTGGGTCTGCAGTAGTCCTAGTGACACGGTTATAGTACAGCTTGTGGTGCCGAAACCCGGGAGGACGTCAGGGATACCAGCTGGGTTGCTGGTTGGCGTCGTGGTTGATTGTACTGTCGCGTGTGGACTCGTGGGGAAACTGAATTTTCCGATCTAAGTACGATGTCGAAAGCCGAAGGATACCTGCGACCCTACCGGGGAAAGTTCGATGATTTCCAGACGTTCTGGGCGAAATTTGACGTGCTGGCGACAATCAACAAGTGGGACTCGGACGAGAAGAAAATGGCCCAGTTACCCTTGTTTCTGGAGCAGGATGCGTTCCTGGTGTTCAGCCGAATGAAGTCGGATGACAAGAAGAAGCCTGACGCCGTCCAGAAGAAAATGGAAGAGGCGTTTTGTATGACGAAGTCGGAAGCCTACCGGCGGTTCAAGGCCCGACGCATGAGACAAGAGGAGTCACCAGATGCCTATGTTGCCGATTTGCAGCGCCTCGCCAGTTTGGCCGGCGATGCGTCGCCTGGGGATGACAAAAATCACTCCGTTGTTGAGCAGTTTCTTGACGGGCTTCCACATGCGTGGGCAAAGCAGGTTAGGTTGTCACTTGTGGGAAAGGACCAGACTGTGAGCGCCTGCTTAGAATTAGTCCGTGCTGTTCAGCTTAGTGATGGCGATTCTGTGACAGCTGCAGTAGGTACAGGTGCTGGAACTGGTAGTTTGGCTGGTGGAGCACGTGGCGACAAGACCAGCAGGAAGTCTTTCTTGTGCTACCTCTGCAATGAGGTCGGCCACATGAAGCGAGATTGCCCAAGGAGGAAGCAGAGGCAGCAGAGTGGGTCCAGCTCCAAGGATGGTGGAGGCCGTGGCAGTACGTGCTACTTCTGTGACAAGCCTGGTCACAGGAAGCCAGACTGTCCGGACCGGAAAGCTTGGCGGGCGAGCCGGCAAGGCGGGAGTGCTGCAGCAGCAGCTGGAGAGGAGCCTAGTCCAGCCTTGGCCTCTGTGTCTGTGCCTTCGCCAGGGCAGCTGCCTAGGATCAAGGTAGACATGTGGACAACGGGCAACAAGGATGATGTGTCACGTATGACAGCAGTCATTGACACTGGTGCTGTCCGATCACTGCTGACTAAGGACCAAGCCCTGTCCTGTGGCCTTGCGTGGTCAGAGTGTGAAAGCAGACTTGTGGCGCTGGGTGGCCAGTCTATTGCTGTTCTTGGGAAAGTAGCCGTCAACATTGGACGATTGGATGGCCCTATCCCAGTGCAGATGCCAGAAGCCAGTGTGGAGCTGTTAGTCGTCAACGATCTGAGTGTCGTACACGCCGATTTGTTGATCGGTTGTGATGTAGCGAGCAGCTGTGGTGGCCTACATCTTGAGTATGCCAATGGTGGCCGGCTGGAGAGTTTGAGGTTTGGGCCAGTGTCAAGTCCTGTGTCTGCTGCACTTCCTCAGGACGGTCACCCTTCCCGCCACGTGCAAGTGAACCGTCATGGACAAGGTGTCACGTTGTCGGCACGTGATGGAGAGGTCCAATGGTGTCATGAAACCAAGCGTTGGATTCTCCGCTGGAAGTGGAGAAGTGGTGCAGCCCCTGAGGTTCCAGTGGGCTCTGGCATCGGCCAGTACTCCAGGGAGAAACTGAGCCCAGAGCAGGAGAAGTTGTTCTGCAAGGAAGTCGACGCTTGGATCGCTAATGGTTGGCTTGTGCCGCACGATGAAGCCACACATGGAGCAGTGGCTGGTGTGCTTCCGTTGATTGCTCGCACCCAAGAGCATAAAGCATCCACCCCGATCAGACCATGCCTGGATTATCGTAAGCTTAATGAGCTCATTGAGTCTGAGCCTGGCTATGAAGCCCCCGTGTGCGCCGAGAAGATCAGGCAGTGGAGACGCAGCAGTGATGGTCAGTGGGAGATGCTAGACGTGAAGAAAGCATATCTCCAGGTGCATGTCAGTGCTGAGCTAGTGCGCTACCAGGCCGTTCTCTGGAACAACAAGGTGTACGTGATGACCAGAATGGGCTTCGGGTTGGCGATTGCGCCGAAGTTTATGCACCTCGTCATCCAGTGGATCACTCGCCATCGCCCAGAAGTCGACAACTATGTTGATGATATCCGAGCTCCAGCAGAAGTGACTCAGTGTGTTGCCGACGAGCTTGCAGCCTATGGACTCCCAACGAAGCCTGCCGAACCCATGGAGGAGTCCCGTGTTCTTGGTATGCAACTGAAGGCTAATGCCGATGGCGCCATGGGCTGGTCCAGGAGAGAGATCGATCTAGAGCCACCACCAAAGATGACAAGACGCAAGGTCTTCTCGTGGTGTGGACGCCTTATTGGCCACTACCCGGTCTGTTCGTGGCTCAGGCCTGCTTGCAGTTACCTGAAGCGGCTGGCGACTGCTGCAGGTGGCAATGGATGGGACGATCCACTGCCGGAAACCCTTGTTGAATGCTGCCAAGAGCTGTTCGCGAGGCTCTCCTCCGACGATCCGGTGCATGGTCAGTGGGACGTGCACGCGCAGGCTGACTCCACCTGGACTGCGTGCTATTGGTGTCGTTATTGAGCTCGACGGGACCGTTGTGGAAGATGCATCATGGCTTCGGCCTGCAGGGGACAAGCTCCATGTAAATGTTGCTGAGCTTGACTCTGCCATTAAGGCCCTCACGCTAGCCACGAGGTGGAACGCGACGCATGTGGTTCTGAAGACTGACTCGAAGACTACTGCGGGATGGCTGGCTCCGGTTGTTGGTGGGTCACGTCGCGTCCGGGTTGGTGGTCTGCATGAGGTTCTGGTGCAACGTCGGCTGCAGATAGTCAATGATCTTCTTAGCATGACGGAGATGCAGGTGACTGTGGAGTGGGTGCCAACGACTGAAAACCTTGCAGACAAGCTGACGCGCGTGCCGTTCAACTGGCCGAAGAAGAGCTCTGATGTTGTGGCCAGTCTGCCGAGGGCTGTGGCTGTTAGCCCTTTCTCTAGCGATGAGTTGGGCAAAGCCCAGGCATCGGACGAGATCATCCAAGGAGTGATTCAGCAGATTCAAGTTGGCCAGCCAGTAGCAAGTCGGCGCTTCCGCAGTTGCGCCGGTCAGCTTCATGTGGAGGAAGGCCGCCTAGTCCGGAGCCTGAAGCTGCCTGTGGAAGGGGAAGTCAATGTGCCAGTCGTTCCCGAGTTGTTAGTGCCTGATGTCGTGACTGCTGCTCATGTCAACACTGGTCATGCTTCCTGGCAGCCAATGTATGAGTTGCTCCGCAAGCACTGTTACTTTCCTGAGATGGCGTCTGCCTGCCAAGACCACGTCAAGGGGTGCCAGAACTGCCAAGCCGCTAGTCTAGCAAAAGGCCCAGCAGCCCCCAGCACCAGAGCAGAGATCCCAGGTCGACCATGGGGAACAGTGCAAATGGACACCCTGGAGCTTGGGCTGAACCGTGGCGGGACACACCACTGCGTGCTCGTGTGCGTGGATGTGCGGACAAAGTGGATGGAAATAGTGCCAATGAAACGGCACGACGGGCCCAGTGTTGCCTCGGCCTTCGTGAGCTTGTGCTGTAGGTGGGGACCACCAGACGTCATCCGTGTGGACAATGGGACTGAGTTCAGCAATGCCATTGTCCAGTCTGTCTTTCAAGTGTTCGGCGTGAGGGTGAAGACAGGTGCCGTTCGCCATCCGCAATCCCAGGGAGCCGCCGAGAGGTACAATCGGACATTGCTGACTCTCATCAGGAAGGTCCTCGACGAATCATCGGACTGGATGGACGATCTTCAGATGCTGGTCCACTTCTACCGCTCTCGACCGCATTCAGTGACTGGCATGTCCCCAATGATGGCCATGGTTGGGTGGGACCCACCTGTGTTGATTGACGATGGACGCCCTAGGTACGACTTTGACACGTGGCAAGCAGAACACGCAGCACGATCTGCTAGGATCCGAGACCTTCTGGAAGACGCCATGTCGGAAGGCGACTGCCATGACGAGGTGCTGCCCTGCGCTTACCAGGCTGGAGATGCAGTCATGCTGCGGATGCCTAGTCGTCGTCAGAAGCGATTGCCACCTTTTGAATCCGGCTGGACTGTGAAGAAAGTCATTTCTCCATCAACTGTTGTGATCTGGCGGAGGTCTGATGGTAGATCCCCTCGAGAGAAGGTGGTGAACGTGGAACTCATCAAGCCGGATGCTCCACGGCCAGGTCTGGAATTGCCAACGGAAGACTTCCCCGATGGAGATGACGGCCAGGAGGGTGACAGCTTCAAAGCAGATGGCTGGCTTGGATGGCTCCCTGATCCGCAGGAGCCTGCTGCCGACGGCCAGCATGTCCGCATGGATCTTCGAAACCGACAAGGCATCCAGCGACCAGCTCGCTTCCAGGATTGATGCTGCTTGGCAGGAAATGTCACCAGGCGGAGGGATGAAGTGTAATGGTGACCCCCTCCACCATCCTGACTGACACTAGCTAGTATTCATGGTGTTGTGTGAATGTCTCCTAGTACAAGTACGTGTACTAGCTGCTTCTGTTCTTTGCTGTGTGCACTGTTTGTGTTCTTTCCTGTATACATGAGTACTTGCATGGCGTTGTCGTTCAGGGATGAGTCGTGCGTGACTCCTTGTTCCACTGCATGTGCGGTGTGCTTCTTATCTTCTAATCTATAGGCTTCTTGCGGTTGGTGTCCGCTTTCTCTTCATGATCATGAGCCACTGCGTTGTATAGACTGCATGACGTGCTAACGGTGGCTGCCGTGCGGTGTGTGCGATTCACTGCATTCCTGACACTGCTGCTTGCAGGCGCATACATGTACTGCACCTTCGCGTGCTCTGTACTTTAGTCTTTAGTTCCGGTTCGATGCACCATGCGCATGCGTCCGGTATGGTGCGACAGGGTTCTTGCTCTCCCAACATTGTTTTTTAGTTAGTTCTTTTTCTTAGTCCCAACAATAACCTCATGGAATTAAATCAGTGTGAAACGTAACTATGAGTTCGGTTGTGGGTCTGCAGTAGTCCTAGTGACACGGTTATAGTACAGTGCAGTGCCGCGAAATTTGAAACTTGAAAGGTACCTCTAATGGGGTTCAAATCGCACAATGTACTGTTGCAAGTAGAGTGAAACGGCCGAGAGAGAGAGAGAGAGAGAGAGAGAGAGAGAGAGAGAGAGAGAGAGAGAGAGAGAGAGAGAGAGAGAGAGAGAGAGAGAGAGAGACAGGCAGACAAACACACTACCAAAGCGCGTACCTTGTAGGAGTAAATACAGCCTTTGCGTCGAACATCCCACATCTGCGCGTTACAGAAACCAACACCAAGAGCACAAGGCACGGGGAAAAATACTTCAAAGCATGCTTCAGGAGTACACGAAGCTTGTCACTGACAATAAACAAAGAGAGTAGGGGAAAAGAAAGCTGCTGCACCCCTGAGTTTCACACAGAAGCGAGCATCAGACAGCACTGAGCACAATGTCCAAACAATATGCTCATTAGAAGTTCCTGCAAACGTGGGTGACTTCGCTTAAGCCACTGTGTGCCAATGGTGCCCCACCGGGGCAAGCTAGGCAAGGTGAAATAATATGACAGGCTCCAACAGCACCAAAGCATACATAAACACACAGAGTGTACCGTATTTTCTGGAATCAGGGCCGGTCTTTTATTACCGCCTGTCTGAAAAAAGCGCCACATTATTTCAGGGCTCTCCTTATTGCGATGCTAAGATAGTTGTCTTCTCGCCGTTTGTTTAGATCCCATTTAGTCTGCGAGTTTTATTTTAAGTGATGGCTAGCAGGCGAGGTGCAGCAACCTGTATCCAACTCATGATCTGGGCACCGTAGTCAGCGCTGTACAGTGATAGTTTCAGCGTGAAAATCTGAACTCGCCCGCTGACTTTAAGAACTGAAGATGTGTTAGAGCCAGGTCTCAGGTCGTTGAATGTCTCAGTGGCCTGTCAGTTTTGTGCCCTGGTATCGCACTTTCTGACTGCTTTTTTTTATCTTGTTACAGTCGTGGATAGCTGCTTCATAACTCGTTTCCATGTGATTTCTTCTATTTTAATTAAGAACATGAGCACTTCATAGTGAAGTCATGGTTCCTATTGCCAAAGTCAACAGCCAGACTTCACTGCGCAGACAAACAAAGCCTTCACATACCTTGACAAGTTGGTCGACAGATCCCGAAGCCAGAAAATCTCCAAATGGGTGAAAGTCCAGGCATGATATCGCGCTGCGATGACCAGGTAACGTCCGTACCACTGAAAAACAGTAGGACATTATGCATGTGCGTGTGCGTGTGTGTGTGTGGCGGAGAAAGAAAGTGAGTGAGAGAGAGAGAGAGAGAGAGAGAGAGAGAGAGATCAAATGAGCAATTTCATCATCAGACTACAGAGAACAGAAGACGTTCCTAACTGGAGAGCAGTGCCAGTAGCACAATACGTAGACTCTGCCAAAGATCCAGCGAGCATACACCCAATACAAAGCACATGCGATGATGCCAGTCACACAATGACTCTTTATGATCACTCACGTTTTCCCTGGACGAGGTCATAGAGCTTGAGTGTGCCGGAGCGCGATCCGCTCACCAGTCGCTCCTCGTTGACGTCAAAGGCGACGCAATCCACCGGGCTGGTATGGCTGCTCAGGCTCTGGTGACATGGACACGCAGAAACACCACAGGCAGAAAGGCATGCCACAACAAGAAATCAGCCCAAAACGCTGGTCGTCTGTGCGCCAACACTCCTCCATTTGCAATGCCAATGCCAAAGCTTAAGCTTATAAGATGACCTAACAGCAGATCACGGGAATCGTGTGATCGCATGAAGTTTTTAAAAAAATGCTTGCAATACCACAATGTCGCGCATAGCCGTGTATTAAAGCTGGGTTTATTCCCGTAGCTATGCAGAAGACGTTACTTCAGTAACGTCTGGCGCTAGCCAGGGTCCACACAGCTTTAATTTGGTGTTTGTTTGTTTGTTTGTTTGTGTCACGCCTGGCGCTATCCCGTATCTGTCCCATACCGTACCGTACCAGCAAAGACAGCTGGCCACAATATTTTTGTTTGTTTGTGCCATCGGCATGCCTGGCGCTATCCCGTACCTGATGTCCCGTACCATCAAGAGTACGGTACCATCAAGAGAATGAGTATATAATGTGTATCGGGGGAATGCATTCAGGCCGATAGTGCAGTAGCATTTTGTGTGGATTTGTGTGCGAGGCCGAGATCCCACTAGCAGGCTGGCTGGGTCGCCTGTCTACCAGCCCGGGAATCGCATGTAGGCCGATAGGGCACTATCGCCCTACATGCATTCCCCCATACACTTTGCATTCATAATCATTCTTCCAAGTTGCTTCACGTTATGATCTTGCGTTTGAAAGCCCTATTTGAATATTGCGGCCAGCTGAATGTAGCCAGCTGTGTTTGATGGTACGGTACGGGACAGATACGGGATAGCGCCAGGCGTGACACAAACACACAAACAAACAAACACACAAATACCAAATTAAAGCTGTGTGGATCCTGGCTAGCGCCAGACGTTACTGAAGTAATGTCTTCTGCATAGCTACGGGAATAATTATAACGTATATATACAAGTAGATGTATAGCAGGGATTCGTATTATGTACACGACTCCCTGCTGTATAGGGAGATTTTCTGGAAAGAAATACGAAGTAGGGAGACGAGGAAATGCAATTAGAATGGACGTTAGTTGCCGAATAGGTGACAGGATGAGTCAGCAAAAACAACCTTTGGAAGAGAAATCCCGTCGTCTCCAAAATAATCCTGAACGGGCGAGTCAGCGCCGGTCACAGGAAACGTCGGAAGAGAGATCCCGTCGACTCCAGAACGTCCGTGATCGGCAGAGTCAGCGCCGGTCACAGGAAACGTCGGAAGAGAGATCCCGTCGACTCCAGAACATTCGTGATCGGCAGAGTCAGCGCCGGTCACAGGAAACGGCAGGACAGACATCGCGTCGACTCCAGAACGCCCGTGATCGGCAGAGTCAGCGCCGGTCACTAGGGGTGTGCGGATAATGCTCGAAAAGGTGGCAGATTCTGCTCGAAAAGCAGTGAAATTGGCAGAACCATACAAACCTTACGGCGGGCAATTCCTCGAATTCTGCTCCATTTCTTTATCCACATACCAAACATGCATGAAACTTACCAAAAAAGTACCGAATTTTGCCAATTTTTCTGCCGGCATTATCCGCATATGCCTGCCGTTCACAGGAAACGTCAGGACAGACATCCCGTCGACTCCAGAACGCCCGTGATCGGCAGAAACGAGACAGGTACGGGATAGCGCCAGGCATGCCGATGGCACAAACAAACAAAAAATATTGTGGCCAGCTGTCTTTGACGGTACGGTACGGGACAAATACGGGATAGCGCCGGTCGTGACACAAAAAAATTAAAAATTAAAAATAAACAAAAAATATTAATCCCGTAGTAATGCAACAGACGTTACTTCAGTATCGTTTGGCGCTAGCCAGGGTTCACACAGCTTCGACACGTCACATGCATGATGAGCAAGCAAAAAAGCATAGCGTAGGGCCCTGAGCTTCCAAGCTCTCTTGTTCCTGTAGAGCCGATGTCAGTGCTAGGCTTCTAATATGGTCAGGCTTCTAATCAAACCAGGTATTTTTATGTTTGTCACCACTAAAACCAGGCTTTTGTGCCGCCAGTGCCTCTTATGTATTCAAAACCGGCTTCTATACGAGACAGGCTTAAACACAAGATACTACGGTATACTCCAAAATGAGCCGCAGAGAGCTCACCGCAGATCATGCACACCGACTGACAAGGAGAGAGTTGGCGGTGGCAGAGGAACTTGATGCTAACTTATGCCCACTCACCATCAAGCAGTTCGGCTTTCCGACAGCCCACACATTCACCTTCCGATCCTCGCCGCCGGTTGCTAGGATACGCCCCGAGTTCTTGCCCAGGGCCAGACAGTTGACTGAGGACCCATGAGCAACGAACTCCTCTGGAGAATATTCAGTACAGATAAAGAAAAAAGAACAAACTCTTAGTACATGTACAACGAGACCGGGTAGAAGTAGGCATGTTACTACATAAACCTTGTATTGTAGAAACACGCTTTTAGTTTTGACAGCATAAATAAGGTGGTGGAACACGGTCGCACAGACCGGGGCACCACCAACCGTGGACGGTTGTAGTAAGGGACACTGTCTCCGAACACGGTGCTCCACCACCTTGTAAAAAATAATGATATGCTGTCAAACTAAAAGTACAGTGCTGGCAACTGAAATCCGACCCCGGCAGCGGTGCGCTCACGTCGCAAAGACCCAACACGGGACTGTAACACTACGAAATAGAGACCGATAGAACGCAAACGCACCGCCCAGGGGCCGGACCCCAACTTAACAGCCAGCATTGTAGGTATGTGCACCTCCAACGGCAGAAGAAACTTACTAAAACCTACTAAAAAGCTGTAATAGCTGAGGTACTGCATAGAAAAAAAACTCCCCTAATCCCAACTCCCCAGATTCGGGCACTTTCTGACCGCTCTTGAGTCACAAAAATCGGCTATTCAATGCAAACGACCCCCAAAACTATCGATTGGCATAAAACGTGTCTAATAGTTTTACTTGCATGCAGCATGAATGTACGTTCTAAGTTACGGAGAATTCGGCCCGTGCCCGGGTGCTTGCCAATGAAGACTTACTGCTTTGCAATGTAGTGTGTGCGCGCGCGCGCGCGCGTGTGTGTGTGCGTGTGCGTGGGTGCACGTGTGTGCTTACGTGCATGCGTGCGTATACATGCATGTGTATGTGCACGCGTGCTTGCGTGTGTACTGCCATGTGCTACTGAGTACTGACACAAGAATTTGTTTGAAGTTTAAAGATTCCATTGCGACACGCCTCAATGCAGAAACCGATGTTCAGATACTAGAACATGATTTTAGATATAAAACCTTTGTTTTGTTGAAACACATGTTGTTGGTTGACAGCATGTTACAAGGCGGAGACTACCGTGTTCGGAAACAGTGACCTTACTACTATAATGTGGATGGTTGTAGTAAGGTCACTGTTTCCGAAAACAGTGCTCCTCCGCCTCGCAGCATGCTGTCAACCAACAATACAGTACAATCATGCTTGTACAGTGAAACTCCCCTAATCCAGGCACGTCCGTCTACCAGGTACCTTTCTGACCATCCAGAGTCATAAAAATGGCTTTTCAACGAAAAACTGCCCCCAAAGATTGGCATACAGTCTTTACCTGCCTGCAGTAAGTATGCAAGTTCTGAGTTACGGGCAGTGCTCGTCCCACTGTGACCTGCCCGGATCTGGGGGAGTTTTACTGTACACACTTTGAGGGGGAGAGGGGGGGGGGGGAGGGTAATACATACAGCAGAACTCCCTTTGTCCGGGCAGGTTGCGGCCGGGTACTGCCTGTATAGCAACTCAGAACTATACATACTAGTTGCATGTAAGTAACGACTTTTTACGTCAGTCCCTATTTTTTGGGTGCCCTGTCTTCGTTGAAAAGCCAATTTTCTTGACTCGAGAGGAGTCAGAAAGGTGCTCGGGTCTGGAGATTCCGGATTGGGGGAGTTTTCTTGTCCTCTTGGGTCTGATTGATCGAGAGGGGCAGGAATGTGCGGTGCACTTTTCTGTATGCAAAAATTATGAATAGAACAGAATTGAAATATCTCTCTCCAATACACACATTTTGCAGATGCACTATCGACAAGAGTACATAAACCTGAGTGTGCAACTCGGGATGGTTCCTGTGGGAGCGTAATTCGTGCAGAACGTCATTTCTGACGGCATGGTAAGCCACAGGTACGGTGAAAGGTTGCGTAACCAGTCACGGTGGTGCAGGTCACTGAGTTTGTCCTGATTTCGGTTTTTTGAAACGGATAGCCTGGTGAATTTACTTGGCAGCGGATGTACGCAGCATACGCAGTCACACAAACACACCGAAATCCTAAAACAGGACAACTAAAATCATGCAAACTTGGTTGATTTCCGGTCTGTGAAACACGAAAATTTGAGCTGTACGCAAGTCGCGGCTTGGCTGACCTCACCAGGGTGACATAGTGCACGAACTGCGCTGTTTCAGATCTGATATGCACAGTTGCACACTCTGGTTTATGTACTCTTGCTACCGATAATAACTATCAACAGACATTTTCTAGGGAGCCAAAATGAAACACAGACACGCGGCACACAGACAAACATACACCACACGAGCTGTATGTCCCATTGGATCCGTGATCACATTCGCATTGCCATACACACAAAGCGTTTGATGCTACGATAGCGTACTAGCTAGCGTCCTAACAGCGTCCTTAGCAACGGAAGTATTTTGTACCATGGCATGGGACTCCCCCGTGCCGGGTGTGCCTTGCAGCTTGCCCCTTCAGTTTGCATACCGGTAGATCCAGGACACATTTTCTTCTCTTTGAAAATTGAGATACAGAACCATAGCCCATCTAACAGCAGAAATAACTTCTCTGGGTATGGAATTACCGGTAGGCCCATAGGCCATATCAACCGGCAAATAATTTAATTAGTTCACTTACGTAATTTCCAGCTTCGCTTTCCGCTTGGATTCGCCATTCCGCCGGGCTGCAATCTCAAGTCATTCGACTTCTACATAAAGACTTGGGAGAAGACTGTACATGGGCAACCGTCAGGGTAGGTCGCTTGTGATTGTTTCTAAACTGTATTAGTAGTCTAGAGAAAGGAGACTTCGCAATCAAAAGGTCGGATAGAAAGAGTTCGACATTCTCGTGAGTCATAATTATCATGTCGACAGCCCGGCCGGCCATGCAGTGATCATTTTGAAACTCCAAGACACAGTTTTGAACATGATGACGTCGTGGGTTCACAGGGCGCCAAAAATGTACTGTGTGTGGTCACCATGGTCACTGCAAGCCAGGGAGTAGACTCTGATCTACCAAGAGTACATGAAAACCAGAGTGTGCAGCTCGGATGGGTTGCTGTCACGGCGAAATTCCGTGATTACATCATTTTAGTGATGTAGTGCGTACAAGCAGGATTCAAGCAGGTCTCTTTCTGCACCACTGCAGCTCAGTTGTACGCACTACGCCATTTCCCGCCTCAGATCTGGGCCAAATATGATGTAATCACGGAATTTTGCCGTGACAGACACCCATAGCTAGGCCTGTCCGAAAAATGTGTTTTAATTTGCGGAAAATGGAAATGCAAAATGCACGGTTTTCCAGCCAACATTCAAACAAGAAATCAAAGGGGAATGCAAAAAAAATTAAAAAATCAAAGCCAAACAACCCAAAACGCAGAGAAAATGCATCCGTTGCCATGGCAACCAGAATCTAAAATGGCCGCCATGCCGTGGTGATCACAAAAATAGTGTTATTTTCCGTGTCACACTGTACATGTATACAGTCATGTAGACTAGTATCCCTGCCTTGCTAGTACATGTACCTCTAATCATGTCACGTGTACATGTACACGCACTGCATGATCATAATCTTGTCACCCATTTTGCTGACAAGCCTGCAAAGCTAATCATTTTCTCACCATTGCAAGTCACTTGTGTTGCCCTTGCATACTACCTAGTACCTGTACCACACATGTACTACTACTACTAGAACACATCTTTGTACAATCATGTAGTTTTACATCATCACACCTGCATGTACATGTAGAACTAAACACCCATGTGTTCGCATTTGTGTGATTAGGAGGCCAGTGCAACTGCCTCTCTCTAAGTCTAGAGTCTCAGCCAAGAGGGACAGTACAAAAGACACCGAAATAGCAAGCCGAACTTGACTTGGTCGAGCTGAAACCTTGGCTGAAACCTTGGAATTCGACCGAAAATGGGCAAAATTCAGAAAAAATGCAAAAATGCAAAATGTACCCCAAAATGCAAAAAAAATTCAGAACATTTTTCGGACAGGCCTACCCATAGCAGAAAAGGCCCCAAGCTGCACACTCTGGTTTTCATGTACTCTTGGATCTACTCACAATGTAGATCTACCCCGGCCAGGGGGGGGGGGGGGGGTTACAATTTACATGTATGTAGTACATGTAGATCTACTCCATGCTGCTAACAACTAAGTGTAAACTGAGGCTGTGTTTACATGAGAAATTTCAACCCGGGTCGAGTTCAGCCCGGGTTGAAAGTCTGTATGATAGGCAAAATAGGTTTCTTCGACCCGGGTTGAAATCAACCCGCAGCGAAATTTCAACCCGGGTCAAGCGCAATGCGTCATGTAAACGTGCCGTTCTTTTTGTGTACATGGCGGGTTGAAATCTGACCCGGGTTGACACGCCTCATGTAAACACAGTCTGACTGAAACCGAGTTGATCACCGACTTCGGACCAAGAATGGCAAGATTCCACAACCCCGGGAGTACATGATATGTACTCCTGCCAGTCCTGGGGTTATGGATACATACAATGACTGTGTGCTGCTACTCTGCATATGGGGTCTGGCATAGCGCATTGTCCACATAATTACGTACTACGGAAGCCACAAGCGGGGGGGGGGGGGGCATTGCGTCACTATAGACCTTATTCAATACGTCACAGTCACGTGAACCAGGGTCCCGGGAACCAGGGTCCCAGGAACCAGGGTCCCAGGAACCAGGGAGTGGCAAGAGGTACTCAGTGCAAAGTAGACTCTGCCTGCAAACACGGGAGTAGAAATATATGGTATTTTACTACTCCCTTGTACGAACTGGGCCTTTCTTGCCACTCGTTTCATGTGCGCGTGCGCTAGCTTGCGACAAATCCCTGGAGGCGAGTCAAAAAATCACGCTATCGAATAAGGTCTATTGGAGTATTGATTTACTATGGTTTCCACCTTTCCAGCTTCCGAATGCGGTTTTCTCTGAGACTTCGTACCCGATGCGTCGCACACAGGCACTGCTTTTGAATCTCCCACATCATGAATAAAAACCGTTTTCCTAAAAACTTGCGTAGGAAACTCAAAGAGTCAAATCCAGTCAGCTTAAATTAATTTTCACTACGTATTGAGCCACACTGAAGGCATTCATCAAATTTAAATCTGTTACTTGCAGTACCCCCTCGTTGATTTGTTTCCGTCTTCTCCTTTGTGCCTTGTTCATTAACTTACCGTATTATATCTCTAATATAAGCACGGTCCTTTATTTTTTCAATGTACCTCCGCCCCGTGCTATTAATGGAGACGTTCCTTTACTGGAGACTGTTCCATTATTATTTCAACCTCATTTCAGAGGCATGTTGCCATGCCAAATTCATGTCAGACACACACATTTCAGGGTTTTTTTCGCCGGTACAGATAATGAATTTACACAGTGTGCTTATAATAGAGACTGAGCACTTTATTTTTTGAATGCCGCCCAAGGTGTTCTATTATTGGAGATGTGCTATTATTGGAGACTGTGCTTATATTAGAGATAATACGGTATATATATTCCTCTTCCTTCTTTTCAGAGTCTCATGTCAGTATCTTCATCATTTTTTGAGAACTGTGGCAATACGCCCAGTGAGAAGGCAGATTTTGCCTGTGCTTATGGTGAAGTAAAATAAAGCTAAACAAACAAACAAGGTGGAGAAAAGTGTATGAATGCTGGTCAACCGGATTTAGTAGTCTTTCACCATATAAAGGGGGGGGGGGGAGAGACCAAGTATGCACAGAGAGCTCAATAACCCCGGGAGTCGGAGCCGGAGCAACACGCAAACAACAACAGCGAATCAAGGCACTCTAGCAACTCTGTTTCATCATACATGTATGTGTAAAAATAGGTGAAAATAGTCCCGAAATACCCACTTCCATTTCATATGCTTTCATAGAATATTATAATTATTATGGAGTTGTATACAACTTCTACCAGCCTCGAACCTGGTACATAAAGCGGGTAGAGAAAAGTAGAATCTACCCTTCTGAGTAGAATAAATGAACCTGACCTCTAGCCAACATGTGTAGTGACACCGGTGGTGGCCAGAAAAGCGGAACACGTCATTATCAGAGCCCTGAGCGAAAATGGATCAAGAGCGGAATGAAACATCGTAGAAGGGGACAAGAAGAGCACCGCGATCAAGGCACGACAGCACCCGGCAGGTCAGTCTAGCACAGCTACATGCACTTCAAAATAAAAATAAAAAATCAATGCGAGTACTAATCTGACATAATATACATGTAATGAACAAGACTGGGAAAGTAACTGTCTCCTGATAGTTAAGCTGTCCGACAGACAAGACTGAGTATCTCTACTATATTCAAAGTACTCTACAGGAAAAGTCAACGGCGACGAGGCAGAGGAGTATGCCGAAGAGTTTGCAACCAGTGCTGATAAAATAATTCATAAAATGTATGTCACGTATTGCAAAGGAAGAAGATAACCGGTTAAATTATTATTATTGTAAAGCTGAGTTTCATGCACTCAGACTTAGTTGTCTGAGGACTGCCTTAGCCTTGCTATGGACCTGAAACGCAGCGTTGCAACTATAATTTAACCGGCTGCCACCGTTCTCTTCTGCCTGTGTGATATTGCTCCATCCTTGCGGTGTTGAGCACTCTTAGTCTAGCAATCTGGGGAATTCCCCCCGCCAGTGCAGGTCAGGTATTGTGCGCGCTGCCCACCGTGTACGCGTACTCCTGCTGCAGCAGCTCGCGGCGTTCGCGCCGCAGCACGATGAAGCTCTTCATGATGGGAGTGACGGGCAGCTCGGAGACCTTGCGCGGGTCCTGCAGCGCGGCCAGGATGGCCCAGCGGCACCAGACCTGCAGCGACGGCACCGTGGCGCTGGCCTCGGCCAACAGCTCGGCGGCCTTGTCCACGCGCTCGCGGGCGCGGACGGCCACGTGCGGCAGCCGGTCCATGACCAGCATGTCCATGGCCAGGCCCTGGCCGGCGCGGCCGTGGGAGCTGCGGCTGTGCAGCGTGCGCACCGAGCCACCGGCGTTCCAGCCGAGCTGGAACATCAGCCGCACCAAGTCCTCCTTGCCTGTGCAGTGCACACGTTCAGAAAACAGACCATAACACGTGCCATCGCTGGATGCCCTGACTTTATAACGTTATCATGCCCTGTAGCGATTTGATACATGTACATTGAATCATCCATTACTGGTCCTGGTTGCAGTGGTCGTCTGGGACAGGTGGCCGCCTTATCCAAGTGGTCGCCTTGACAGGTTTTACTGTACCTCATCAAAGTGGTTGTCTTATCACAGTGGCCACCCTGCAGCAGGTTTGAGCGGTCAGTGCGGAGCAACATGATCACCGCTCTCTCTCTCTCTCTCTCTCTCTCTCTCTCTCTCTCTCTCTCTCTCTCTCTCTCTCTCTCTCACCTTGATAGGCAGCCACCAGCAGAGCGCCGTTCTCACTGGAAATGTTGGCCCCGTAGAGCGCCAGCAGCAGGACGATCTCGGTCATAGCGCTGAGCGGTATGCTGCCGTTGCGCAGGAACACGGGCAGGCACGTCCGCGACGGCTTGACTCGCAGGTCGGCCATCAGCTCCAGGATCCGTTCGGCAGCCTCGACCACCTCGCTCCTGGGGCGGCCACGCCAGGACGTGTTAGCAACGTTCATCAGCATTTTGGCCACTGCACTCTCCTGCGCAGCAGAAGAAGAAAAAATGCAAAACAGAACACGTTCATATCTTGTTGTCGTCAATCTTCGGCCAGCAGAAATGCTTGTGTGCAACATCTTACCAGCACCAGCAGTGAGCTAGCACATTGTAGCTGAGACATGCCAGCAGCATGGCCCAACGGGTTTAAGGCGTGCTCCCGCTCCACATCATTCCACTACTTTCAATACGTATCGCGTAAACAGTACTTTCCAGTTAATTCTATAAGTGCGTGCTGATGTGAGGTTGCAACATGTGTTGCAGGTGGCAATGCACACGGTCGAACGAGGTAATAATATTGGATGCATATGCTTTTCGTCTTGGATGGGTATGGATAGGTCCAAGAGTACATAAACCAGAGTGTGCAACTGTGCATATCAGATCTGAAACAGCGCAGTGTGTGCACTAAGTCGCCCTGATTAGGTCAGCCAAGCGTCGACTTGCTTACAGCTCAAATTTTCCTGCTTCACAGCCCGGAAACCAGCCAAGTTTAAATGATTTTAGACGTGCTGTTTTAGGACTTTGGTGTTTTTGTGTGACTGCGTACGCTGTGTACATGTATTCATCCGCTGGCAAGTAAATTCACCAGGCTATCCGCCTCGGAAAAAAACCGAAATCAGGACAAACTCAGTGACCTGCACCACCGTGACTGGTCAGTGGTTACGCAACTTTTTCGCCGTACCCATGACTTACCATGCCGTCAGAAATGACGTACTGCACGGATTACGCTCCCACAGGCACAGGAACCATCCTGAGTTGCACACTCTGGTTTATATATACTCTTGATAGGTCTTCTTCGTTAGCTCTGCAGCAGTAGCCCATACTCGAATTCACTGGTTCCCTATTACATGCAGGGCCGTAGCACCTGGTCGGGCCATGACCGGACCTTATTTTGGAAAAGTTAACCCATCCCATGCGTGCCCAACGGGGTATTTCCCCCAATACTGTTCACTTCTTGTCGAGTATCCCATTCGGCCGGACCACCAGGCCATGGACCAGACTAGCTGCAGGATTGCACACTCTTGAGTCTTGTAAATATCGCCGGTACTTACCCCCACCTGCTGGCCTCTGTCGATGAGCATGCGGGCAAACTTCATCCCGCCGCACACCTCTGCCGGACCGTAACACCCGTCACTCGTCACGTCCGCGCCATGATCCAGCAGAACTTCCGCTGCCGCCAGCTGCCCCTCCACGGCTGCTATTTGAAGGCTGGTGACCTTCCTTTCGAGCTCGCCTTGGCAGGTTGTTGCCTGTGCATGAACGTCTACCCCACGCGCCAGAAGCACCTTCACTATGCCAGCGTGTCCATACTTGGCAGCAAGGTGCAACGGTCGCACACCTCGGGTGATGACGTCGCTGACCTCGTCCCAGAGTCCGATCTTCTTGTCGTGCACACACTCGATCTCCGGGTCAAAGCCATTCTCCAATAGAACGGTCATGGCCTCGCCGAGTCCCAGCGCCGCGCACACATGCAACGCAAAGAAACCGCCCTCATCAAACGCGTCCATGAAGTTCTGGAGGCCCCCATCATGGCTCTGGCAGAACGTCTCCAGTGACGTCACGTCCTCGTTGGCCAGGGTGAGAAAGAACGAGGCCCACGTGTGCAGCGTGTCTGCCCCGTCTCTCTCCTGCCAGGGCTGGTCAGGGTTCGCCGAGGGCCTCTGTTGCCAGGCATTGCACACGCGAATGGGAGCATGTCCTCCTGCGTGTTGAAATCCTTCTGCCACATCAAACCAAGGTATCTTCACGGGCATGTTCACATACGACAGCGGGCTATAATCCTGACAGATTTTGCTCCTCAGCACTACTTCATCCCAACGCTTCGCAGAGCATTATAATATATCCAGATCAAGTCAAGTCGATTGATTTTCGATACGAACAGTGACTCATGAACCTGATTGCAGAATATCCAAATATGCTCAAGCGGTGGGCGATTTACCAATCACCTTTCTCAGATGTTATTATCTCGTTCAGCTGGCTTCTGGCCTGGCTCGTCCAACAATAATTTAATTATTTCGTTGATTGAGTCTTGACTCACGAGGAGTGGACGCGCAGTGTTTGTTGTGTTGACTTTGGATTTTTGGTTGCCAATATGTTGGCGTGAGTCAGATCTTGTTTGGCATCAATGACATCATGGTACGAGGCTACGAGCTCTGTAAATTACGTCATTGGTCAGAGGAACGGCCGGGTTTTGCTTCAAAATAATTATTTTGGAACGAGTTTGTCTTTGTCTTGTCTATCTTATTCTCTTGGCTGTCTTGCCCTTGCCCGTCTTGCAGCTTGGAGCCTCCATCTCCTGTAGTCGAGAATTTATTTGTGTAGGTACTGACAGTCCCTTGCCATTTTATGGCCTAGTGCTAGTAGTGGAGCCCGAGAGATACGTCGGATCCAGTTTTATTTTTTTAGTACATAAGAGGTTTATGTTTCGGATTTTATAATTTCTTCTCAGAGTCGTGTTTCTAAAATAGCCTCCACGTACATGTACTACTTTTGTAGTACAGTACCATTAAAAGAGTAGGATCGCTTTTCCTATGACTACACTGCACTGGCCGGAGCTTGAGGAAAGTCCGAGCTGGCAGTATTCGGCACGTTACACAGCAGCGGCTCTGGCTGGGAAAGGGCAATGGAACACGCGACGCCCCGATGGTCCTGCTGTGTGTGCTCTGGTGAGCTGCTAGATGCCAGGCTATTGCCGTGTTTGCACTCGATCTGTGGCCAGTGTAGAGCCGCAGGTGCAGGAAAGAACAAAGATGGATCACTGAGATGTGGAACATGCAGCTATGTCGTCGCACCGCGCCTATTGGACACTCTGCAAGTGGACTATATGGCGCTCGACTACTTGGCGCTGCAGAAACTACGTGATCCGCGCAAGTCGAACAACTGTGACGAGTGTGTAGATGGAGAGGTGGCCAGTCATCGCTGTGTGAGCTGCTGTCAATTTCTGTGCACTCTCCATCACAATAGTCACAAGAAGAGCAAAGCAACTCATGATCACCAAACCATACCCCTCACCCAGCTCCAGTCGTCCGCCAGCGCTGGTGCTGCCATTGCAGGATCGGGACATGTTGACGTTGCCGAATTGGCAGTGGCACGGAGTGCACTGCTGTGTGCCCGTCACACGCAGAAAGAACTGGAGCTGTACTGTGCAAGTTGCTCGGAGTGTATCTGCAGAGATTGTATTGTGGTAGATCATAAATCCCACGACTTCACCTTCATATCGGATGCCATTAAAAAAAACAAGAACCGTCAGGATATTTTGAAGTTAGATAAGATGGTAGAGCAGTTTGAAGGCACCCTGAGTAGAATCGAACGGTCCCAGGAAACACTCACCAACAATTTCCACACAACCAGCCAGGACATGGAGAGGGCTGCCAGCGAAGTAAAGCACCTGGTCGACACGCGGTTGAAAGAGCTCCTCTCAGATGTTGACAAAGTCTACCAAGGCAAGAGCATCGCTCTGGAGAACCAGAAGATAGCATTGACAACCTTGCAAGAGAAGGTAGTTTATGCATCAGTGTTTGCTAAATCAATAATGGAATGTGGCAGCCCATCACAGCAGCTTATACTGAAGAGCGTTGTGGACAGTCGCTTAAAGAGTCTGGTACAGGATTGTAAGGAAAAGTCCATCCTGGCGCACGATGACGGGTCACTATCAGCAGTGCTGGACCTGTCTGATTTGAAGGAGGCTGTGGGGGAGTTTGGTCGAGTGACATCCACGGCTGCAAGTGGAACGAGCAGCTTGGGTCTTCCAGCGAAATGCTACTCGGGTCTGCCAGTCACAGTGACCGTTGACCTAGCAGATGCAAGCGGACACCCTACATCAAATATCTGCGAGAGCACAATCAGCTGTTCAGTTGCTGCTCCTGGTGGCGAAGACCTCGACATAGGCCGTCCAACTATTGTGAGCTCCATGGCAGTGTTCAAGTTCATCCCAAAATATGTAAGTAGACTGGGCGACTATTCTGTGAGTGCGACAATTTCTGGACAGCCCGTTCTTCGTTCTCCAGCCATTGCCAATGTGATACTGCCGCCATGGAAATTTGAACATGTCTGCAAATCGAAATCCTTGCGGATGGTGGGCAGTGTTCGAGACACTGGTGTTCAGCTGTCCTCAACTGGCATGTATGCCAAGTTAGAAGATGAGAGGCCAACGGATATGGACCAACGGCGGGGTTTTGATCGCCTCAATTCGTCTCAGAACTACTTTGGATATGGCTTGTGGCCAAGTAGGCTTATTGCAGGGAGTGAGGCAATAGCCACAGCAGCTGGACCGGTCATAGAGTGGCACATTACGCTTGAACAGTACGGTGTCCTCGCTGGGACTGCTACCCAGGATCAGTCTGTCGGCGTTGGGATTCTTGTGAATCTGCCAGTCAGTAGTGTGAAAAAAGAAGTTGGTGATGTCGCCCAAGCTTACGTGCAGTCGTCCGTCGCTTTGTTCTCCACTGGCAAGGTTTTCGTTCGGCAACACCAGTGCCAGGACCAACGAGCTGGCGGGGATCGCGCCCAGAACGCAGCAGCGTTCACCTTTCACAGCTGCGACACGTTGAAGCTGGTCTACGTCGCCGACAGTGATTATCTTGTCGTCACGCAGCGCAACTGCGATGTGAAGTGCGTAGTCGATCTTCGTCTGCCGGCGAAGAAGATTCTGCCACTTGATGATGACTTGGAGGCGGCCTTTGGCACTGCGCGTGCTCAACAAGGACTGAATGGCAGGAGGGGCCACTATGTAGCGGATCGCCGGGGTGGGATGCATGCATACGCGCCTCGGTCTGCAGTGTTTGGTGAAATTGCGTCCATTCTCCCGGCTGTGTGGCTGTCGGCGGAATTCACTGGAAATGCCTTATTGTCGTTTCCGATCGACTAGCAGTTCGCTACTTCCAAGCACTTATGCAATGAATGCAGAAGAAGGCCATAAAGAAACCTGGGGTTTAGTATGCTTCAGATATCAAGTTGTTTCATCTTTCCCATCTTCGCTTGTCAGTGCTTGCGCTTCTGTCTGTGCATGCATACACTAGTAAACAGAGGCAATGTGCCTTAACCTGCTGCTAGAGTGCTCACTGCCTGTGGTGCGCAGAGCACAGCACGTGTCCACAGTGCTGTCTGATGGCTGGTTGTCAAACCATGAAGCTCTGACTTACAACAAAAATACGCCTTTACTTTCCATTTTGTGCCTCTTGTATACAGCGATAGAAATAGGCACTTTTAATTTTTTTATGTGTGTGGCCAAATTGTTGGTCATGACTTTCTGATGGTCTAATGATTATGACATCACATTGTTTACTATGCTGTACTTCTTTCCCCGCATTGTGTAGTTGTTTGGCACTGCTCCAGCCAACACACAAATTTAGTTTTTTTAAACCGTGCTTCTTTTTCAAGCTTACTGGTACTCTATAGTTTTCCGCCGCTGCTTGAGCCGTGCTTGGTTATGCAGAAGTTGATTTCCGACCTACTCATGCACGCATTTCTCAATTAAAGTGATTCCAGCATCTCTTCTGCATTGCGTGGTGGCTTTTCTGCTGAGTACTGTACATTCTGTGCATCCCGGCCTGGGCGCAGGTATGTGTAAGGCTCAATGGTTTGGGCATATAATATGGCTGCAAGCAGGGTGTGGCGAAAGGCTTTCACGGCTCCCTGGCTCCAAGGCTGGAGCAGCCAAAGCAAGTTGCAAAGCCCAATGAAAACCCGACAGGGTTATGCATTGATTTTAGTTTTTGGTTTGATTCGAAGCGATTCCGGCATGTTCAGGGATTGATGTGCAAAGGATGTGGTGATGTACATGGAGGTCTACGTTTGATTGGCACATTACTGGTGGTCTCCACTTTCATGATTGAATTTTTGTTTGTCTTCAAAGCTTCTTCCTGTTGCATTCGCCTTTCAAGTTTGTTTCGCCTTCGCATCGTAAACAAATCTTTGAACCCTGTGGAAATTTTGAAGTAGTTCACGGCACAATGATTGAGCTACTACTGTACTAGTATCAAGTATCGTGAGTTCTACCGGTACTTCTGACAAAAGTATTCGCTGTTCGTGTGATTGGGAACGGTTGTTCTGACTGCTCCAGTAAATCTAATCTGAATCCGGATTGACCAAACAAACATGCCCCTAGAGACGGTCGCTAGTATGGTCAATGGCAGCATTGAAAGTACTGCTGTGTCGGGTAGCATTTTCTTCGGGTAGTTTTCCACGGGTAGCACGAGTACCCGATTGGGTGATGTTTCCATGGTAGCACTACAATGCACCCCTTCCCTTACACACTGGGTAGATATGCAGAGATGACATGAATAATTTGTACACGTGCCCTAGCTGTACATGTCATTAATGTCTGTGGTGCCTCCTTTGCACCATGGCTGGTAGTTCGGCCTATTTAGCTCGTAGCTGTACTGATGAGGCCTTTATGGCCGAAACAGCTTGCTGTCTACAGCATTGGGTGTCATGATAATTATGTAATGATGTTATCTGCTACTTCGGGGGGTTTTCGAGTGCTATTCTGTACCCGACTATCCCTGGTCCTCACGCCGACTACCCGTGCACACCCCTAATTGAAAGCTAAGCATTTTTTTAACAGATATTCGGCGTTATTTTCACTGCAATATTCGTGGCTTCAACTGTTTGCACATGAATGACCACAGTAAGCCGCACTGGGACAAGGATCAGTAATGGTGCAAAGTACATGGCCCGGAAAAAAGCGATTTACCCAGCACATGTGTTTGTTTTTGAAAAATGACTGCAGGCCCGATGCAAACAAGCAAGACAGGTGGGCGAACGCAACATAGGATATTGCAACAGGCTAGGTCAAGCTTTGGCTCTACAACCTCAGTTGGGCGTGATGATTATCTGAAAGACAAACAATGAGGAACACTAAGAACCAGTCTGTGAGAACAACGCGAGAGCATAGATCTGGCAGAGATAGAAGGCAATCCAGCGAAAGAAAAACCAAAGGAACAAACAAACGATGGCACCTTGTGATACTAAAAAGGAACCAAAAATCATAGTCCACATTATAAGTCTGGATCGGGACTGTCTGAATATTATGAGTATTTTGAAGTAATTCTTTTATAATGCTCGCTCTGACAGCTGAGGTGGGTTCAGATACCGATGGGGTTAGGGGAGAGCTGGGATGGGGATACAGGCCCTTGGTTTGCAGCGATGTAGCGTGGAGAGTTCAAGCGCAGGCAACGGGTTAGCAGCGCTGAAATTAGTGAAAGCCAGCCAAATAATTTAAAATGATAATTGTGAAGCGTACGGGCGGTATTGTCAGGCACCAGAAGGGATCGGTGTCAACGTCAACAGATGAAATGAAGGTTGTTCGAAATAGCTGCTGCAGAAATCAAACACCACTTGAATCGACTTGGTCATTCTTATGCCCGATAGGATCTTTCGGAAATCAGGATTAGTTTTGATAATCAATAAAAAAAAATGTGCTGGCCGGGAACTGTCAAACAAGACCCTGGAACGGATAATTACGACGAATGGTAGCGCTCATAAGCCACCACTTGGAATCATGGGCGATACACGATAAACACACGGCTCTCACACATATCACTAGTACTAGATATGATAGACACGAAACAAGCTAACGGTTTGCCAGGTCTAGTGCTGCGGTGGCTGTTGTTGCTGCTGCTGCTGCTGTGCTGTGGCAAACACACCACCGGGATTCATTGGTTCGTAGTCCTCGTCGAGCGCTACGTCTTCGGGTGGACCCCCGGAAGACTGGCGCTGGCCGAGCGGCGAGAACACGTAGTCGCCGCCGTCGTTGTACTCGGAAAGTGACATGGATCGGCGTACGGACGCCACGCTGGCATTGGACAGAGAGCCTGCACTGACACGGCTGCTCATCGACCCACGACTTGAGCGCGACATGCCACCCCCGCTCGCATAGGACGACGCCATCATTGGTCGGTTGGTTGGCACCTGCTCGTACGAGCCGCGCGCCAAGTGCACGGAGTCGGCGCTCACGCGACGCGGGACGCCCGCTTGCTCGTGCCCAGGCACATACATGACACTGCTGGGCTCCGGGAGAGCGCGGAAAGGCGGGGGAATCGAATAGGGCTGGTCGGGATTGCCAACTCGGGCGGGTATCGGTGGCGGCGGGGAGGCGTAGTTGGCTGTAGGATGATAATGCATTGCTTCTTGTTGCGCAACCATTGGACTCATCGATACCTGGGCACCAAACGGTATTACAATGGCATTACCAAACTTGTCATACATTGGAGTGGGAGCACCACCACTACCACGGACGCACAATTGACGTCCCTGTGGCGATACGGTGGTCGGTACAAACTGCGGTGCAGCCTCGGGCACAATTGTAGCATGGATCGGCGCTCTTGGTTTGGCCGAGCGGTCTATTGCTGGTGCAGCTGGGTCGGTCGGCGAGAAGTGTGTCGGCTTGGTGCTTCTGTCAACCTTCAAGTCATCCGCAGTCAGGGTAGCGTATCCCTGAGTCTGGTACGGCTGTCCCGGGGCCGGAGAGCATGCCTTCGGCTTGGCCGGCAATGGAGGTACAGGCGACGTTGTATTCTCCTGCGGTAATGACGGCATGCGTCTTTCATCCCGGCCGCCCTTCGGAGGAATGGGAATGGGTGGCGTAGACGAGTACATTGCCGGGTTGGGACACGTGATGTCACTGCCAAACTGCATGCCTGCAATGCCGTCCGTGATGATGCCCTCATCCGCCGAGCCCGGTCGCTGCATTGGCGGACTTCTCTTCGGTGGACTGGGCGTGACGTTCATGGAGTTGTCACCCGACGTCGAGCGGCCAAAAGCATACACGCCCACCGACACTCCAGAATCACCAGTAGGCTTGGACGACGACTCCTGATCGTACTCCCGGCTACACCCGCTGAGTTGCGACTGCTCATCTCTCTCCGCTGACGTTGCTTTGCACATACCGGAATCGCTCGCTAGCCCCCTCGTTTGGGAAGAACTGCTCTCCGCACGAAAGGATGCATTCATGTGCGTCTCAGGCGCGGACGTACCCGGGCGTGCAGGGCGATTGCAAGGCACCATCGTGTAGTTTTCTCTCGCGGCGTATGCGGAAGCGGATGCGGGCACGTTGGTTGGCACCATGCTGTAGTTTTCTCGCTGCTCGGCGGATGCAGACAGAGGTACATTGCACGGCATCAGCGTGTAGTTTTGCCGTGCCTCCACGGACGAGGACATGGGCAGGTTGCTTGGCACCATGGTATAATTAGAGGAAGGTTCATCCGCGCCTACAGGCCTACACGCTACACTGGAAGCAGCTGGCTGCGCTTCAGAGAACAAAGCACCGCCGCCGAAGTTCTGGGAACATCGCTTCTGCCTGTCCAAATCTTTCAGTGCCTCGGAGCAACTCCTGGGACGGGAGGTTCCTAGCTGTTCCCCTGTCCAACTGGCTGCTGCAGCGCTGGCCAAGCCATCGTCCTCTTCTTTCTCCTCGATTTTTTCCGGTTGATTGTTAACCGCAGTCATGGAGTACGGCTTCTCTTCGGCACTGACCGAAGCCTCTCCAGGTTTGCCTTCACTCGACCCAGCTCGAGATCGTTGTCCACCCACTGGGGACGGACTGCCGCTGCTGCCTCTTCCCTCCGACGAGCTTGACGCGGCGCTTTCCCTGCTGCTCTCACTGCTCGCTGTGCTGGCATCGCAGGCCTCCGACGGTAGCACAACGTCGCCAAGGTCGGTCCATTCGGCCGACGCAACCGACGAGCTCACACTGCTCGCCTGCCGACGCAGCGTCGACTGGCTGCCCTTGCGCTGCATCTTGCGCGTGCCCATGCGCCTGAAGATGGAGCCCTTGGGCTTGGACGACGCGCTCTCGCATGACGCCGTCAGTTCGTCTGTAAAATAACGGTGCACACAAACACATACGAACACACACACGTGTAAGCAAAGTATCTTATCATGCATAATTGGCACGGTTCTATCTTGTCAGGCGGTTTCCATGCACTATGCTAATGCACAAATAGAACCGCACAAATAGATTCTTCAGACACAACTGAGCAGGAAGCTAATTCCCAAATGCGGCCTTCACCCTGAGTAGGTTTACACATCACACTTACACATGCAGCCTAGGTCTACAGAGCACACCTCCAATTAAATGCCGCACATCCCCTGCTAATCAGCAAACGGGATCACCTTGAGTTTATTTACACCTCAAGCTTACATGACAGTACAGTCGGGGTCTACAGAACACACCTCCAAATAAATGCGGCACATCCGCTGATTACCTAGCTGTTCCGCATCTATCTCTGGCCATTCAAAACACCCCATTAGTACCCAGCACACACACACAACACAGTGCCTGCTCACACAACAGGAAGTGGACGAAAGTGGAAAGTTGACCAAAACACACCAGATCTCGACTTTCAAATCAGCCCCACTGCTGCATAAGGTATCACGTCCGCACAGCACTATTAGTATTAGGAACACTGGTCCCCTACAGACTGATATGTCTGCCTCCAATCCACAGTGTCCAAACACCACACCAGGATCTGTTTCTGCTACTGCCACTGGGGCACATTCCTGCACTTCAGTGCTACATGTACGCCCCAGTCCCAGACTCACCAACACCAACCTCCTTGCCACATCACACACAGTCTACAGAGTGCACTGTCTGCATCGCACATGATCAAGCAAGGCTTGAATACATCACACACAAAGCAGCAGCTGCGCGTCCGCTGCTGGTTGCGGGTCCTTGCGGACAAACAAGACAGTTTTTGCTCAGTACGGAAATACCACAGTAACACACGTGACCTGCATTGATGGCCAAGACTTGGACAGTGCCAGAGGACCAGTCAAGCGTGCACACACACACGCATCAGCCAAATGACACTCTGGGTCAAGTCACTCGACCCTGTGCTACGCTATGCGAACATAGCCACCATCGCAGCTCAGCCTCGCGGTACTTTCGAACTTCGCGGAAGCCCGTGCTTACTCACACACAGTTGGGAAGGGAACGTGCGCCACGTGCTTTTGTCCGCCACAGCCCGGCCCTCCCGCCACATAGCACAGAATACAGTCATTTTTTCAAGCGCCAGGAACATCACAAGAACGCCCCGAACGAGTAAAACAACTGCCTTTGGCATCTGTTCGCGATCCGATCCGGAGCCATCGCCTGAACAAATAAGAGAAACGACTTTGGGTGCATGGAAAGGGTCCAGCATTTACCAGGCGATCGCACAGAGATGAGACCAAGAGCTTCTCCAGAGCAAACCGGCCCAAGTGGCGGCAACCGGCAGTTAGACTGTGCTCTAACGACCAGAAAATGGTGCACAACCTACCAACGATCCAGGCCGTGATCTCATCAGGTGTTGGAAACATTACATCCACTCGTGTCACAGTGCGAATGATCAATCCCTCAGAACTGTGAGAAAAAAAGGTGGTCCTGGAACGACGACGTCCTCGAAAGCCAAATCCGCGAGGTTTCGAAAGCCACGATTCAGGAACCAACCTCATCGATTCCAGGAGAGGAAGGATGGACGTCCTGTAGGATGCTAAAGAGCTCGCGTGCAAAAGCCGGCCACCAGTTCGTTCTGGAGGACGTGCGTCACATTAAGGATACTGTATGCTAATAGCACAAGCTAATCCCCAACAATCCCGGAACGAGATACCAACAACCATGCATTGGCAACAAGAACGAACAACTCTCCTATACTACAAATTACAATTCCATTTCGCCAACATTCCGTGCTACTAGTACTAGTAGTAGCCGTTTGCCAACGCCACATACCACACATGCGTGCAAAGGCGAGTGTCAAGATTCAAATATATCCCGACTACGACTACTACACAAACATCGAACTGGCAAAAGATACTGACACGTTCTACGCAGCACTCCCATCTCAAGTGCCCCTGCTCTAAAAATACAAGATGGTCACCGATTTCTGGACGAAGATGAGCCAACATACAGCAGCTACAAAATGCGACGAGATTCTCAATCCACAACAAACACAACGCGTAAAGAATACAGTCTGGTGCCACCAGCGCACGACCACCAACAACCTAACCACGACACAACCGACAAGAGCAGAAACTCACCTTCAGCTGCTGTTGTCGCATTCTCGTCCACAGCAAACCCACCAATCTCGGCCAAGGCGCGCACCCACGCCTCGTAGTCGACGTGGCTCTCCGCGTCCATGAAATAGGTCCGCTTCTTCGTGGACAGTGAGACGCGCATGGGATGGTTGGTGTAGTTCTCCTGCATGATGAAGCAATCCTCGAGGTTCACGCTGCCCTTCGGACTCTTGCCCAGGGTCGACGGCTTATCGTTCTCGTAGTACTCCAGAACTTTCGACTCATACAGGCGAAAGTACCGTCTCTTCCATTGCTGCAGCAGCGCAGACATAAATACCCATATGCAGCAGGTACAACCACATTTTATAGATAATTGCAGCGGAAAATTCTCCACACCACAAACAATTACAAGTCTGGCACAGGCAGCGGGTAGACTATGAGACGTAGATAGGCCAGACGAGTGGTCTGACGTCTTCAGGAAGAAGAAAATTGACACAAAACAATTTCAAACTACAATGCTCTCCCCAATATACTTTGAACAATTTTATAGATATTTATAGAGTTTATAGTACGCCATCAACATGACAAGAAAGTTTCGTGTCGGAAAATTCCAGTCAGTATGGACACCACATCATGTGCCACAAGGCAACAAGCGCTCCGTAACACCAGAAGCATTACCTTCAGCAGTGCTGGCTGGCCATTGTCATCCGTCGGAGGCGACTTGGTCAGGAATCCCTCTTTCACTATACGTCCCCCGCCCATAGCGAAAGCTGCTGTAAGTCTAGGTGCAGGCCAAAAACTGAGCAACTGGGAATAATTTCTGCTGCGAACAACAGCCCAGTATTGTGGGGGTCACTGGCGTTCCACCTGACAATGAAAAGCTAACAGAGAGCTTTGCGCTCCTACAATAACTGCCTGAAGCGCGGTGTCCCAAAGCAAATATTTCCTACGAACATACGCACACTGAACGGCCACTTTCAACAAGTCTAGGAGCGAACTGAAGATGAACACCAGCAGCACTCTGCGTTTCACTGGCTACTGCACTGCATGCAGCATTCATCGCAGGAAGAGTCGCGCTCAGTCAGACTCAAGGCTCCGTGATCCGCACTGTTTTTACTGCGCGCGCGCTTCTTCAAACCAGATCCACATCTATAATAGACTACACTGCACTGTAGAGTTCAGCCTCAGCTAGCCGAGGAGTATGGGAGTCAAGTCTCAAAGTCAAACTCAAAGCGCTCTGAGTCTGACTCTGGCAGTCTGGGTCTGACACTCAGTACTGTTTTAGACCAGTTGCACTCAGATCAGTACAGTAGCACCAAGAGTACATAACCCCCTATGTACTCTTGGTAGCACCAAGAGTACATAACCCCGGGGTTATGTACTCTTGCCTCTTGGTAGCACCGGCCAGTGCAGTCCACAAATCAGTCACTACATGTAGCTAGCTCAGCTGTCGGTAGATAATGCCATTTTCATTTTTATGATGCACTCGACACGTACTCGAGTGTCGCAAGCGGAGTCTTCTGAGCTCGATCTTCCGGCTGTGTGCGACGATCATACAGTCAAATCAGTATGCTCTAGATCTAGCTCTGCATGCTCCTTCTTTGTGTCGCGTGACGATCGATCCCGCGCCAAAAATTATTCAGCCAAAACTATGCAGTCTATGGTAAGAAGACCCAGGCCGCGTCAGCAGGCCACTTGTCATGCATTATGCGTCCTTGAGTCTTGACTTGAGAGGTCAACTCACAACCGGTAACAGTACAGCTAGTACAGTACAGACTACACTACTACTAGTACTAGTACTAGTGCGCGCGAAGGACAGTGACAGAAGACGTCTAGAATGACAGCTTCGTAACCGCGTGTTGTCAACACGGTTACACCAATGCCAATGACTATGACCCCAACCGTTACGGCGTTAGTGAATAATGTAACTGTTCGCGTGGTACCGGGCTTTTTAGTTCTGGTGCCAGTGGTGGCTTGTTGGTGTTGTATTCTTTTATTTTTGAATTCGTAAGAACATACATGACTGTACAAACGCCGGGTTGGTGGATCACAGTTCGCACCGAGGCGAGGGAGTCCGAAGGTACAATCATGTAAATACTGCATGACGTTATATTTATACATGTACATGATTGTATGTACTGTAAAAATGATAAAGTATTGTGCTACATTTGTAGTGGCAAGAGTACCGGTATAAAATGCTCCAAGGTAAACTGGTTGTAATCTACCACGAGTAACTGGTTCACGGTTGTGTGTCACCACAAGGACTCGAACCAGGGACCCTTCGCTAGTACAGTGTTACATATGCATACTCATAACAAACTGAACTGCGACTAACGAGCAGACTGTCCGGATCCTGGTGGAGTCGAGGTCCATCCACCATCGACTACACACCACAGGTACGTAAGTCTGCAGTACAACGTCGGTCAGTAACAGTTCGATTTCAAGACAAACAGGTCATTATGTATCTGAGTATCGCTAAAAATAGAATCACAGTCAGTTCACATTTCTTGGTTTGCACTGAAATAGTATTCGCCGAGTTCACAGGTCAGACTACACTATACAGCATACAGGCTATACGTTGATTTCGTACTGTACATGTACTTTGTCGCTTTCCTGCTCTCACCAAGACTCAAGAGTACACAACCCCGGCCGTACTCTTGTCTCTTGCAGTTTTGCTTGCTGATCTTATGCTAGATTTTCTGTGCACTGTACTGTCTGCATACATGTACATGTACATGTACATGTACTGGTACTGGTAGTACTAGTAGGTTTGGATTTGCGATCGGACGACAGAAAATGAACGTTAAAACTAGTAAAAGACGGCAAGTGCCTACTTCCAGGACGGTTTTTCAATGACAATGTAATGACTATGTTCGGCCTAGCGCAAGCCCAAACTGGTCATTGTTTACTCTGTTGCCAATCTCCAAGACTAGACCTAGTATTAGCAGAAGACGACGGAGCTAGCTGTCGGAGTCTGTTCACGAGGTCTGCTGTCCATGCACATACGCAAAGGGAGACAAAGAAGACAAGACGGTATTGATTGACATGGCTTTTTTTTTATTGATTTCGAGTCCAACCGGTAGCTAGCTTGTCGCCTCGGGCACACCATCAACGGACATACATTGTAGTGCAGTCAGTCCTGCAATAGATCTACTATCTGTCATCTTGTCCTAACCGGTAACCCTATGTCCCGAGAAGATGTCCAGACTAGAGTTCGAATCCGGACAACTGGGCTTCGCTCTTCAGCCATGCTGCACATGACGCCAGGCAGCTGGAAAGAGGAGTCTAGCGTAGGCTTACAAGTACATGTACATGTACAAGATAGTACAAGACCTCATTGTAGGAGCTCTACCCAGAGCCGACATATCTCAGGACTCAATCATTATCTGGCTCGGCGGACTCTGGCCGTCTGGCCCTCTGGGATCCAAGTCCCAGCCCCATGCTGCTCCCGCACTGCACTGCACTCTGGTGACCTCAAAGAAGTACATGATTGTATTACACTGTCATGTACTTGATTGTACAGGTACATACTCTGCAGTTTACCAATGTCTACGTGCATTGGCATGGCTTCACTGAGTCTGTCGCGCAGCGCTGGGCAATGGAAAAAAAAACGT